GGCGCAGTTGTGCAATGATGATCGAAAAATCAAAAAATATCAGTCTTTGTTTGATTATATTAAAACAGACGCAAAAATTGATTCAATCATATTTTACGAGAAATATTTCTACGGTGGCCAAAAAAATACATTGTTAATCCATTCATATCGTTAGTGATTTTTTTTTGCAATTTTTTGCAGTGTTAACATATCTGTTGCTGAGTACCTGACTGTAAAATATTTAGTTAAAGACATGTCTGGGTTAGTCTGCACTCGTATTCAGATTTACTTATGATGTCCTGTTTCTAAAATGCTAAAAAGATTTGAATTACTTTTCATATAGCTAATTAAATGAAATAAATACAGGGGAATTGTAGAAAATAGTTTTTGAATGCGAGAAGCAAAACAGAAAGAAAACAACAGAATTTTCTGTTTCTTTCAGAGGACATAAACGCCTAATACAAATAACATTCCAGATAGTGGTAAGGTTTTAGCAAAAATATATAAGTAGGGCTACCTTAATTTTGCAGGCGAGAGGAAAAACGCTCATCAACAAATATAACGCAATTAGGAATTATTAAATAAGCATGAGTTGAGAGTAGTTTCAACCGTTTGATCTGGGTTTTGGAAAACTGGAGGTACTTCGTGATCAATCCATTCTAAAGGGCAACCAACTGAGAACAATTATAATTCACATTCCTAGACCAAAATGACAATCAGGCATATTTAAATCGTTGACCGAGGTTACATTACTTTGTACGATGGTTAGTTTTCAAACTCAATAACATTAAAGTATCTCTGAATTAACAGTGAGAACAGTAAGAATACAAACAAACAAACAAATGTATTTTTGTATAGCGTATTATCACAACATTACATCGTCTGAAAGCGCTTTACAGCATCCCCACCCAAAGCCCCCAGTGAGTAAGCCATAGGCGACAGTGGCAAGGAAAAACTCCCAAGAAGGAAGAAACCTTGGGAGGGACCAGACTCAAAGGGGGAGCCCATCCTCCAGGGGCCGGCAGGGAGAGTCAAATACAGTAAAATTTGAGACACAAACGGGGAGCAGGGGGGAGATGACAAGCCGGTGCCACCGCTCCCTCCAATCGCCAGGCAACCAGAAGGCAGGCAGCGGGTCATACATGGAAGATGACACAGGCAGAACGGCGAGCTGGATCATATGCGACAGCCTATATATAGATAGTAAAAATAGGCAACGATGCAAGCATTAAGCACACTAAATCATATTAACCGATATGTTAAAATATAGGTAAATTATCGAACTGTACCAAATTACTATTATTTGCACAAATTTAACTATCATAAAATATTTTCTTAACTTGGGTTTTGTTTTGTTATGCTTTAGTAGTATTAGTACTAGTAGTAGTAGTAGGAGGAGGAGGAGGAGTAGCAGTTGTAATAGTAGTAGAATTCTTTAGCATGATTAGTAGTATACGGTCAGTAGGCTATAGTACGCTTTAGTTTAAATGGAATCACCGCTAATGTCTGATTATAATCGGAACCTCTGTCAACATCACTCTGTGAACCGTACACAATATAGATTTAAGTCTTCGTCAAACCGCACCTCGGCAAACTATCAACACTACAAGGCTTCCTTCCAACACATTTTAAAGTGTTTAAATTTGCCTGTAGTGACAGCAACCACTTTGGAAACAAATCTGGAAAGAGTAACGTCACATACTCGATCCGCTTCTGGATCGATTCCTTATGTTACGTTTTAAACAGAATGAAGGCTTGATAAAAGTTTATGTTGTACTTAAAAGAGAAGTCGAGAGTGCTAGCCGGCGGTTTTGCTTTAAGGGGCCATCGACCACGCGATACAAAACGTGACCGGGAATCATCCCAATTATTTCATAACACCAAAACTTATCGATAGCAGATTCCCCGACTTGCTTCCACTGCACTTTCTCTACCTATTCCACCCCACTGCCCAGCGACAAATCAACCTGGAAATCCAATAATGATTTGCAATTATGCCCGTTCAAAACAGTGGACCTGTGACCATTAAGCTAACATCATTCCTATCCGCCATGCAAGAAATAACATAAAACAAGATATAAACAGGCGGCAAGTAAGTAAAATGACCGATAGGCAGTATGGAAAGGTAGGTAGGTGTTTAAACTTCGAATAGAATAAGCCGTCTAGGGGAGAGTTCCTCTATGCTTAAATACTGCAGGTTGTTACAAACGTTACAAAGCGGAGACTGTCAGATTCGAGACGACTGGGCTCAAATTGATTTTATAACCCTCAATTTCCACCCTCAATTTCCACCTAGGTCTGCATGAACTATCCCTTCCGTATTCTCGGGAAAACCGTGGTGTGAAATTGGCTTGAGTATGGATTTATGAGAAGCATTTCCATTACCGTTTTCACTTCCTTCGGAAAAAATAATAAACATTGGGATACTGCAAAATTATTAGCAATCATCGTTCACTGTATAATGCTTTTATGTGACAAACAATTATTCTAATGGAAAGTGTTGTTTTTACAGCAACGGCGACAGTGGATTATAAGGAAATATAAGGATTTTTACAAAAGCGTTTTTTATTGGTGGCCAATTTATTTTTGAATCTACAGATGCTGAGATATTTCAGCGAAGCTGAAATCTATACATGTCTTATATTTGTTACATATATGTATTTAAAATTGACATTTGATAATTCACAACGATTTACAAAATGTATTTTAAATAAAATTAGTTTTTTTTTAATTAATTTAATGTGTTGATTGTGATTCTATTGATGAATTAAATCAATAAATGATTTTTCTTAGATGTAATTGAATTTTTGGTTATTGTTATATACCTTTTGTATATTAAGAATTCAAATACAGCCTATATTACAGTGTAATCATACATTAATTTATTGACTGCGTGATTAACCTAAATATTTTATACGACAGTGACAGTTCTGAATCTATAGATATGATGACAAAGACACTTGAAACATTTTTTAAAAAACAATATTAATAATAGGCTCGACGTATAGCCTACTAGAAAAGCTGCTCTTGGAATGTAATTTATTTTTTAAAGAATGTCTGAAACCGTCAGTTCTTTCTTAAAAATCCAGTAATGTTTTTGAAAAATGAAGAAAATATATGTGTTATAAGACCATTTCTAGACAAAAAGTTCACATTTAAAAGTTGCTAAATATTTCAGAACACAAAAAACTAACAGTATTGGGTTGCATCGTTTTCTAACTGCAAAAGTTCATCCCAGTAACGGCCAACAGATTTCTTTCTGTTCTTGATTTGCGAAATAGGCGCCTATGTATTAAAAAGTGTAGTATTTTTATTTTAGTAGTATAGTATTGTATGTAACAAGAAGACGAAGAATAACTTATAAAACTGTTGTTCTAGTACTTCTATTGACCGAAGTAAACACTTGCGGACAGATTTCGTCACAAGACAGAATATTACAATTTATAAAAACCCGAGAGCTGGATTTTAACATGCAGATTGTAACGTGAACGTGAATCGATAACGGCGAGTGCAAGCGACAAACATTATATTCTGAAGTAAAACGGTTATAGAAGTATTTCTAGTCCAGAGCGCCGCCTTCAGATCGGTTGCAGTGTAAGTCACCCTGTGACAAGAAACATCTTTTCAGAGTCGGACCAGTGTGTGTACGGTTTTTCCCCCTTTTTTTCTCGTGAGATCGCGGCAATAACCCTAAGAACACCGGAAGTAGTATTTTGTTTCAGATTCGGACAGGAATCCGAATCTACAAAAATGTGTAGAGCAAAATACATTGTTAATCGGTCTTTCATCACGCTTATATGTATGTTAACGTTTCTATTTTAATTTAAGTGTAATTAATTAGGCCTAGATATGAATAAAATGCTAAGCGCATGCCATATAGGCCTACCAAGTTGCGATATTGCAGATGTACTTTATGTATTTTTCTTATAGATGTGTAGTTTTTTATGAGTCTTTATCAGTGCAATATCATTCACTCTTTTAAACTTTTTTAAAACGCAATACTTGTAATTTCCTTTAAATTTGAAGCATCATTTCATATCGCAATAAGTTATAGATCCAACAAAAGCCACACTACTTATTTTATTCACTTATCTATCTATCTATCTATCTATCTATCTATCTATCTATCTATGTGTGTGTGTGTGTGTGAATAACCAAGTACTTGTGTTATTTACGCAGATGTAACTGTTTGCGGTGCAACAACGCTTTGATTTTTTAACCAAATTGGCATTTTCCAGAATTTCCACTACACTGGACCTCGTACAGCCTACAGAAGTTTCCCAGTATAGGCTACTACAGAATATATTGTTTATTCAGATTATCCAGCAACAAAAACCATAGACTGTTTCTTTAAACTATACGGTTTACGCAGTTGAGTTATGGAATTTCATAGCAGACACTTTTAATTTCTCAGAAATTTCATTAACATGAAATACACTGCAAGACTTTACTGTTATTCCATTTTCAATAGAATCACATGAAACTCGAAACATCGTTGTTTGCTTCGGCAATGTGGTCCTGTTGAGTGTTATCCAACCCAATATAGCTATTGTTTTCTTGATGGATATTTACCATTGAAATAGATTGTTAAATGAATTTATCGTTTATTCTCATAATGAAAACTTAGTTCTAACCTAACCTATGTTTTGTAGTAAAACTTGTGATTTGCGGACAGTGCATGTAAAGCTTACATCCTTTGAATGGATTCTCCGTCTATTATGCTTCTTCGTGTACTAAATGGATCGCGTAAGTTATAACACTAAAGCCGCCATGTTGAGAACGCTCCATTTTATGTATTAGCGACCTGCTATATTATATCCAGGTTTTTGTGGCGTGAATGATATGCAAATTTAATAGTATGTGGTGTATCTGAACTCTGCCTTTTAGGAATATTATTCATGTTGTACAATTCTTTAAACAATTGCATAAATCGTATAATATATATACAGTTGGACTTACTTTATATTCGGTAGTTTGGTTTTTGTTACATTCTTTTTAAAAGAACGCTTTTATTTTCTTACCTAGAGATCGTCTTGTAGATGTTGCTGGTCGTGCTCATTTCCGGCGTTGGTGTTTCTTGGCAATGAATTCTCTAACAGTGCTTGGGTCGATGATGTCATTGCTGAGATAGCGCTGAACCTGGAAGAGCTGAAATACCGTACGATTTAGGTCGGTGGTATTGTTTGGCTGTACGTTTATTGTTACAATGACTGAAAACTTTATGAATTTCTACAATAATGGGTACCACGTGGCCTTAAAACAGTACAATATCTGTCATAATAATGATTTTTTAAATCGGTAACGTTATTACTAAAAGACTGCGCTTTTTAAAGCCCTGAAAATCAATTATATAGGCCTACATGTGATATGTTTGACACATGTGTTTGTCGGATAGGTGTCAGTCATATCCATTAGCACCATAACAAGCTAAAATAGGTTTTTCCATCCTTGACCATACATCTGTGATAAAAAAAAATATATATGCACAATATTTGCTAGATGTAGTTTATAGATGAAGTAACTTTTTCTGACATTTCGAATTTTGGAATTCCGTGCACACAGAAAACGTGTGATGAACAGGTTTGACTGTACGGCGTAACGCATTATAATAAAATGATTAAGTCCATGTGGTGCGATTTGAACAATTGTATTGTATTTAGTGGTATATTCAAATGTCTGGTGTTTCCTATTTGAACGAGATCCCACTGAAAATGTCTGCAGATTCGGGAAATTTATTCACTGTCCTTTGTATATGTTCATTAACAGATTTCTGAGCAATTCATAACATAAATATAGCCGTAATTAAATATATACAATTTTTGCAATACTGTAGGAAAAAGTGTTAGTTAAAGACCTAGCAATACCTCTTTAACGGGCAATTTATTGCAAAAGACTCTTACAACGAATCATTCACAAATGTATTCATTTATGAGAATAATAATATGTTGATGTATAGGCTTTGTATTGTCTGAATATCTGGGGTAGATAACACGTGTATATACGTATGTATGTTTCTCGTTCACTGGGCTACCACAGAATTTCATGCGACGTCAAAACTGCAAAATAATTCTCGTATTAGTGTATATTATGAACGATGCAAATTTGTGTCTGAAACATGCAAAGCCATCATTCACTTCTATTTCATCAGTATCTCTACAAATATATCAAACCATATCAAGAAGTGCAAATGTGAGAAATACTGTGACGTTATAGTGTAATAAATGATTACTGCGCTTTTCTGTTCCTCTAATGTTATAATGGAATATACATCACTGACATTAAGTTACGGGTTCTTTATCCGCCTTTTCAAAAGCAGTTCATCTTATTAGTTTAATATTTCCCAGTCTATCATTGGAAAACAAATATTTCCAGTGCAGTCACATAATGCAATGGTTTTACATGCTCCGCATATATAATAAAATTACATTTTGTATGATATAAAACAATATGTTCAAACACACATATTACAGTTGCTGTCACTTTTTGTTTGGTTGCAATTATAATGCTGCGGCTGCTACATTCAGAGATGACGAAACAAACGTTTAACATTTAAGGACAAAAAATAACCAGAAAAGTATGCAACGGCTTTTAATCTGCCACCAAATTTGATGCAGATTTCACCAAATTTCTCTATATAAAATTCAAAGCTTTAACTTCTGTCTTATGCTGATTTTGTATTAATTACAATACTTTGTTCGTGTGAATGTTGTGTAGAATTGGGAAATTATGGTTCAAGATTTCGGTTTATGGTGTTTGACTTCGGCTGTATATCAAGTCCATAAAATCAGAGCTTCCTGATGTAGCTTTTATTACACCATTTAACTAGCAAAAACTTGTAAGCACTTTCGTCCATAAATTCTGAGGGTGTGCTTTACATTTATGATTAGCACAAATATTTAACATTCTTTTCATAGAGAAATCTATATTAGCTTAACATAACAACTTTCTAATAAGTTCCACCATTCATAAAAGGCCGAAATATACTAAGCATTATTATTATTATTATTATTATTATTATTATTATTATTGCTGCTACTACTACTAGTATCTAGACCTTGTTCTGCATAAGCAGATGGATGATTGAATGGATTCATTATTGTTGTTATTCTTGTTGGTTCTATTGGTTATTCCTTTGTGCTACTATGTGGAGGTTTATTCCCATTTTCCCATTTAGTACATTAAAAAACATACTGTTACTACTTTAAAACAAGGTAGGCGCCAGCATAGGAGCGATGTTGGTTGCCCCTTTGCTGGACTGATTTATGCCTCATTGAAGCTTTATCAGGCTCAGGGAAAAAGGCTGACCAATCACTTCACTGGGAGCGCGCAGCACAACAGCCTACTCTACTTTGTTGGCTGAGAAGTCGAGAAGAGTAGCATGCAAATCTTCCTGTCTCCTATATATTTTTCCTTCAATGAATCGTGAGTTGTATAATGTCTGAGAATGTCAATTTCTGGAACTCTTAGCAACTACTATGTCGATTCTTTAATAAGTCATGAAAACGAAGACCCGACTTCAGCCAAGTTCTATAATGCACAATATCAGAGTTCCAGGCAGCCAGGAGGACAGGGTGATCATCCCGAGTTTCCGTCCTGCAGCTTCCAACCAAAACCTCCGGTTTTCAGCGCTCCCTGGAGTCCTTTCAATTCTTACCCGTCCAACAGTTTACCATCGGTTTACCATTCTTATGTCCCAGCTCACCCTGTTCCTTCACCGGATGCTAGGTACCTTAGCACTTGGCTGGATCCTGCCTCGAGACCGGAATCCATAACTGGACAGGGGCAGGTGAAGCTAGAGCCGCTGCTTGGACATCTCGGAGAGCCGCCTAAAACTGGAGGACCCGAGTATACCGTGGAGTCGTCTTCTGCTAGAGAGGTTAATTCCAGTCGTGTATCTGGTTTCGAGGACAATAAGGATATTTGCGAAAGCAGCGAAGACAAAGAGGGGCCAGATCAAAGTAAGTTATAAAAAGAGGAAGTAAACAGTCTGTAAAGCGTTTAAAGGCTGTCATAAAACAGGAACAAAGAAAAGAGAAACCACAAGAACGCATGCTGGCGAATCTAGTGGAAGAGTACGGCAAACTCCTTTATTTTGTATAATAATGGCGTGTTAGTTACTGAATACGTACGTTTGTAAAGGGATTATATGCATCTCATTCTACGAGACTTATGTTTTCCGGTGGATGCAGAACGAACTACTGCGATAACAGGATTATTTACCCGTATAAAGGCTGCAGAAGGCGAGTTGTTATAATTTTACATTTTTTCTTTGTCTATATTGGGTCAAAGTGGAGCCTCGGATATTTTCGTTTTATTCGTTTTATTCTAGTCTAAGTGATATTTGATTAACTGAAACGGAACGTTGCGGTATTTTTTGGAATGAGATCGGATTTATTTAGACTGACATATTAAGAAAATATAACAACAAGACGATTTGCAGATGCATAGTTCTCGATATTTTACCCATACAAACAGGTTGCACATATATTTAACTCTCTCCACAGTAAAAGCTAAGAAAAAGTAACAATCCTGTTTTCCTGACAGATCAATATATAATACATCGATAATATCACGACTCAGTAATGCAGCAATTCACGACAGTGCATATTGTGGTTTATCTCTCATAAAGTAATTACAGAAATGAATGGGGACAGAGTTAAAAAATGCTAATTGGGATAAAGTTTCAAGTAAAAAGAACAAGTTAAATGATAGATAGATAGATAGATAGATAGATAGATAGATAGATAGATAGATAGATAGATAGATAGATAGATGCCAGTTACGGTAAACTGGCTATTTGGCTTTTGCATTGGACTAACTAAAATTTTTGAATTCTAGAAATGTGCTCGTTTTGCAACGTTTGTCTTACCGGTTCAGAAATGTGCTGTATTGCACAATGCAAGCTTCCAGTACAGAGTGCGGAGTACAAGCAACGGAATTTGGGACTCGACGTTCTTCTGCTTTTTCAGTGGTCATTGATTTTCAAGAGAACATTAAACCTGCGATTTGTACTTTGATCATATATGTAGGTTGAATATATGAGACTTATATTGACGGCGTCCTGTATAAAAATAATAATTATTATTAAATTAGCAAAGAAAATATTGCTTCATATTCACAACACCATAAAAATGGGGGATTTCATGCATTTTTACAAATACGAGTTTAAACCCATCAATGTTCCATTTATAATTTCAATTTTCATTGAAATTATAAAGATACAATGTAACAAAGTCCTCTGGCGTATTCCAGTCAATGCAAAGCAACACAATTATACCTCTTCTTGAAGTAGAACACGCATATCTATCATCATTTGCCGCTTTTGTTTAATGTATACTTATATAGCCAGTATTGGCAAACCAGGACCCAAACGGGCCTATTTTGCAACCCCACGACCCAAATGCTGGCCGATTCTATGAAAATGCTTTATCAAATGCAGACTTATACTTAATGTTTTGCATTCTGCCTTAGGTGTTTGAGGTTTGTTTAAATTTACGTAATAGTTAAGCAGTAAGTTATGTAATAGCAAATCATTTGAGAGAAAGACTGTTTGCTAAGAATAAAAATGTGTATACATGTGCTATACTTTATCATTATAATGTTCACTTGCACAAATTTACAAGTAATTGCTAATTGTATACGAAAGGAGTGATGGTTGCAACACTTGTTGAAATGTATTAAGCTAGCGATGTTTATATCTGTTGAATTACAATGTGACGTGATTGTCATCTACGTATTGTGAGTGTACTAGTTGCTTGTTTTGAGTGGCGAGCACATGCTCAAACCTTTATTCAATTCTATTTTCAGACGACCCATCGTCCAACTGGTTGCATGCCCGTTCCTCTCGGAAGAAACGTTGTCCATATACCAAATTCCAAACCCTGGAACTGGAAAAGGAATTCCTCTTTAACATGTACCTCACACGGGACAGGAGACATGAGGTTGCACGTCAGCTGAACTTGACAGAGCGACAAGTTAAAATATGGTTCCAGAATCGACGGATGAAAATGAAGAAAATGAATAAGGACCAACTCAAGGATTAGAAAGCTCACAAGAAAGCTTCAGCAATCCTTCCAGTTGTATGACTGTATCTTTGTGTCAGGTTTGCCTCAAATAGTTGTTTTGATACGACTTTGAATAATATTTTGTTTCAATAAAACATTCCTTTGTTTAAAGATAATCTCTTATTATCAGTCATAATAATAATAATAATAATAATAACAACAACAACGATAATAATGCTGTCATTATTAGAAAATCGTCGATATGTAATTCGGTTTGTTTAGAATGTTCATATGTTCTAAAAGCTTGATATGTTCATGACAAGGATATGAACAAATTATTGTTTTGTTATTGTGGTTACTAAAGATATTGGTATTCTTGTTACTTCTTTTTTGCGGCTTCCAGTCTAATTGTAGCTCTAGCTATTATTATTATTATTATTATTATTACTGCTGTTATTACTATTATTGTTGTTGTTAATGATGATGATGCTGATGATGATGATGTATTGTTTTTGTTTAAACTTTCTTTGTAACCAATTTGGAGGTTTTTCCTTGTATTTTTTCAGTGTTGTATTAAATCTAAGGGCTGGTGATGTCTCATTAGTTAGTCAAAGTTATTAATGCTGAGTGTATTATTGTCATTCAAATTATTTATATTGTTCAAGATATCTTGTGTGTCATGTGAACCTTTTGATTCTAGAATAAAAATAAATGCACATAGTAATCATTTATCCATGTCTTTTTAATTGGTTTATAATACAATTTCCAACCAGGACAGTCACGGGAGATATAGCATGATTTTTCAAAAGTGTATACATCATATGTACACATATACATCTACAGCAACCACGTCTTTGCATCATTTTGGCAACTACATCTGTTTAGGTAAAACTTATAGTTGTTTTTCTCGACGACTGACAACATAAACCGGTGTCAGTTTTAACACTGTTAATGAAATATCAGAGATCGCAAAGCACTGAAACTAAGATCAATCTATTGTACTACACCTTAGATAGGTGAAATAATGGACGTTATATGTATTGCTGTACGTAGGATGATCGAGGGAAAGGACCACATATTTGACGATAGGAACCTTTTTGACAACCGCTCACTAGGTTTTCGAAATGGTAGAGGAATGTATTTTTGGATTATTTTTAATGATTTGTTGGCGTCATATCATTCTTCTGTTTTTTCAGTGAATGGCATATGCCCATAACATAAAAATGCACATTTGTTACTTTTAAGATATTCATAATTTTATCGTTAATTAGAAATTATTTCCTAAAGAATCAATGTATTCATGGGAGAGAGGACAAGGCATTCACTGTTGCCGACTGTTATATTTATGGTAGTGTGATAAATATCTAAATGTCTTGCAAACCTTAGATTCTTTCTCCTTAATTAAACAAGTGCATTCTTCATCTGTACAAATGTACTTTTACTTTTTATACTGTTGTACTCGATATTAGGGAAACATTGAATTGCTGCCAAGAGGGTAATTGGTGTAACTGTCGCGTGTTTGGAGATGAGATTATTTCGGTATCCCTACAGCAAAGAGTAAAAGATATCTGCATTAATCCATGTGAATTCTTTTCAGCTTCCTAGAGAAGCACTATCTAATGTCATTCTTTTAAGGAAAGCAGACACTGTAGAATTACGTTTCATTTCGTGTATTCCTTTGTAGTTCTCGCTGTCTGTTGGCCTGTAGGTACGCGGATCTACAGCTGAATTAATTTCATTGAATTAATTACGTTGTGTAAATAATTGTACTTATGCGGATGTATAAATGTATTTTATTTTCATTCCTTGTTACAGGATTAAAACAGAGAATGAGCTTTAGAAGTTAGGTGTTTAAAATGCACCATATTCTTAGTTTCGCTTGTGTTCGCCACATCGAATAGTCCCAGACTTTGCTGTTCTACTGTTTTTTAATCTTAATGAAGGACATGTGCTTAAAATATCATCGATGCACTCAAACATTTGTCTCCAATTGTGGATAAAGGAAACGGCTACAAACTGATGACTCTTCTGAAGATTACAATTTTAATGTTATCCAGGGCATTGATGGCGTACTTGAAATTATACGCATGATACTTTTGTAATATATATAATACATATTATGCGAGTTACTGGAATATTTACTGTTGAGGCGAATATCGATCAAGGGTGTTTAGAATCACGAGGTAAGTTTTCATCAGAAATATTTTTATTTAAATTTAATTTCGTCTGTAAACAGGAATTAGTCTGAATTGAAATGTAATACCTTACACTACACTATTACAACACTACTTTCGTCATGTTTGTCATTTAAATCACATTTTTAAAAAATACACTCAGCATTTACTTACTGTCATAATTCCGGTTCAGTTCTATGCGATTGATAATCACCTTTAATGTAGGACAATTCAGCTGAATTCCCATATTCACATTTTTTGCAAACAGTATATGCTTGTCGAGGAGACAAAAGAACAGACAGTGGCATACATGCCTTATGCAGTACAACTTGCAATACAGTTTTACTCGAAACAAACAAATAATGCTTTTAAAAAAACAATTACATTTTAATAAGAATTTTGCCTTGCGTCAACAAGGGTACTGACAGTAGTTAATTCCTGTGAAATACTTTTATTAAACCTTTGTAATCCGGTTTGTGTTATATATGGAATATTTAGGAGAAAATGTTTCAAAAGGTCAGTGTGCAGCGATTGTTGTATATATTTTGCTTATCTCTTTTATCCGAAGGTGTTTTGTTTTGTTTCTCCCGACGGGAAACAACAAAAAGGGGTTCAAGCATGATCTGAAAAAAAGGGATGGGAAGTGGGCTGTCATAAACGCGAGAAAGTAAATTCAATGCAGTGTGCCGCAATAAAAGAATATGACTGCAATAAAAGTTTATAGGGTATAAATTTCTGAAGGTTAAGAACTAAACGGCTGTAAAGCAAACACGGGAAAAGGAAAAGTTTCAAGACCTAAATAACTGTTGCAGAGCCATAAGCGATCCTTGGCAGCGTTATTTATTTATTTCGTTTGTCCAGCATTTGTCGTGTGAAGATTCTTTGTGGAGTGGGGGACTGCGCGGCAGGGCCTGGACCTCCATATGCCTGTCTTATTCAAATGTTTGGAACGTCTTCCTTTGTTCCATTTCCGAGGTCTCCCAGTCTGCCCGATAAGGGGCAATAAAACCGAACAAAAATGTTCTGGCGAGACGTCTGGGTTAATCTGCCAACCTTAATCTCTTTACATCTTAGTGCCAATGTTCAATTAATCTCTTTGTAACACAATGCTGATTGTTGTCCTGAACAGAAAATCCTAGCTTGTTTCCTTCTTTCATCTTCTTCTTCATCATCTGAACAACAACAACAACAACAACAACAATAATAATAATAATAATAATAATAATAATAATACAATTTGCATTAGAAATTATACATTTGTAACCCTCTCATTCAACTCCAAACTGAAAAATCTGTAATGAAATATACACTCTATGTTTAATGTTAATCTTTCAACAATAGTAATGTTAACAGTTAACTTTTATTTTAGATTTAACATTTGTCAGTTTAGTTTTGGGTGGGATAAATGTAATACTTTCCTTCACGTGCTTTACTCGCTTTACGCTCAATTAAAAAATACATATGCATATATATACATACACAATTAAAACAATCCAGAATCTGTGCCTCGACAAATGGTAAATTCGTGTGTGTGTGTGTGTGTGTGCGTGCGCGCGCGCATTTTTGCATTGTTGTGTGTTTAGCTTGTGCTTATCGTGCTTCCAAATGGATCCAAGACGTAATGTTTAATATTGGCCAAAAGATGGCGGTATTGCTCTACAAAACACTGTGATTCCTTTGTTTTCCCTTATCAAGATTTCAGGACCATAAAGATTGCATTACACGGCTTAACTTATTTTACATTATGCTCAGAAGTAATTTAAATATTTGGAAATTCCTTTTTGGAGGAATGATTTTAGTATAGGTCCGTATAAGAAATCACAGACCAGCGAAACAGTGCGGTGATTGTTTACTGTCTGCATACAGCAATCATAAAATTCTACATAAAAATGTACACTAGAGTCTTTGTTATATAAACAATTTTATTTCATTTTCTTAACGTAATAATAAACATTTTTGTAATAAAAATATATTTTGTTAGATTACACTGGATGAAACATTAAAATGCTATTTAAATATATGTGACTATCATAACATTTATAAATAAACAAGTTTGTAATGCAATTTAATTATAATGATATTCTTCTCACTTATGCGTCACTAATTTGAAAACACGCCATTGCAATCTTGCACACAGAAGTTGTATGTGAACGTACATACATATATTACAAAACTATTCGAAATCTAAAACAAATGTCTGTCCAAACGTCTTATATTTATATTCTATCGGCCTAGTTATAATAATTCAGTAATAAGACACCAATTTCCACTTGGAAAAACCCTAGTAATTTTAAATATGTGAATCTTATGCAGTAGCATTATATTTTATGACAATTACATGCGATTTCGCTGATTTAAACAAAAACATAATTAGATTATTTTACGAAGTCCTTACTCTTTAATTGTCATTGACTAATATCTGCACTTTCTTATTTTCTTTTTGTTTACCTTTTGCTGCTCTACTTACTATTTTATTAATTTGTATTTTAATTGTATATGGATCTTTACTTGTGGTTTCTGTTACATTAGTCTAAGAACCAGCAATAATTAAATTATACCAACATAGTAAACAGGTCTTAGAGAGAATACAGAAAAAAATGCCTGAAGAATATACAACCATACAATAGCAGCAGAACTAATGTTACCATTGCAGCTTTTCTGAAAATGACATTTGTAACAAATATCCGTGGCGTTTCTTACATTTTGCAGTTTGTTACATGGTTTGCAATCGGTTATCGTATTATAAACACTACTCTTTCCCTTCTTAAGCTTTTTAATCTTTCAGGACATATCTGAACGTATGATCATTAAAACGTTAGGATATGAGTATTTCGGTTGCACTGAATGGGCTTACACCAGTGAGTTAGATGTTTTCACAAGTTGTTTAAAACTGGCAATTACATTTATAGGACCTAATTAAGTCGTGTACACTCACAATTTATTAATGCAACCCTGACATTTAAAAATGAATTCACCTCGTTAGAATTACGAATTAAGAGCTAGGATTGCTTTATTTCAGGCTACCTATTAGCTACAACATAAAAAGTAATCTTTTTAAAGGGGTAGGTGTACATTTGATCTAACGTAAAGCGGCAGATATCTCATTAAGTATCCGGTTGAATATATTAATGCGCATATTCTCCCCTCCTCTCTCACCCCTTTCTCTCTCACTCCCTCTCCCTCTCACCCTTTTCTTTTTTCCCTTTTTCATTCTCTCACTCTCTCCATACCACAAGCGCGCCGTTCAGTGCCCGTGCGGAAATGCCAAAGCCAATGGGATAAGGATTCCATAATAGATGCAAATTGTCGTGAAAAGACACTGCAAAATATGAAAAAAACTCATTTTCGGCGGAGTAAATCACAGAAAACTGTTTACGATCTGGCATTTTGGTCTGGAATTGTAATGCAGGAATATAACAGAAGATGCGATTGTATGGAATCGATATAATTGTGGCGTGAACATTGACAGGGATTCTCGAAATACAGCATATATCTATATACTGGGAATCACTGAACCTGCGGGTATCTTCGGAAGTGTTTATTTCCTTCAGCGGACAGAAATTTAATATACAAACAACAATAAGAGCTGAAACAAGAACAACAACAACAACCAGAACAACAAAAGATGAGTTCCTATTTCGTAAATTCTCTGTTCTCAAAATACAAAAGTGGTGATACATTGCGCCCAAATTATTATGAATGTGCAAGTTTCGCACAGGACCTGGGAAGTAGACCCACAGTAGTTTACGGACCCAGTACTGGAGGAACTTTCCAACATCCAAGTCAGATTCAGGAGTTTTACCATCACGGCGCATCCACGCTCTCCAGTACCCCATACCAACAAAATCCTTGCGCCGTAACTTGCCACGGAGAACCTGGCAACTTCTACGGGTACGACGCGCTGCAAAGGCAAACCCTTTTCGGAACCCAAGAAACGGATCTGGTCCAGTACGGCGACTGCAAGCTGACCTCGAACAGCATCGGAGAGGAAGCAGAGAACACAGAGCTAAGTCCTTCTCCTACACAACTCTTCCCATGGATGAGACCTCAAGGTGAGACAATGCAAAACACGAACTACTGTTTGTTAGGCAAGGGTAGGGTACGGAGGTACATTTCCTGTGTAAATGCCGAAAAACGTCCTTTTACTGTTTTATGAGCTCTAACTTGTGAATTACTTTATTGTTTAATTACCCTGTGAGAACCAGGGATAAGTGAAATTCTTTCTCCACTCTGAGTTTTATTGCACATTTTATGACATACTGTTATCTTGGAGTTATTTCTTGGTGTAAGTTAAATGTAGTAACCTAGGACATATATCTTTAGGATCTTGCTTAAATGTGTGTCGGTAGTGATGCATGCAAACCTGTTTACAATTGGGCACAATATTATGTTTTTGTTTGGCAAGAAATATGCTTTTACATGCAAAATGACAACTGAGGTTTAAATTAACCTAAATTATTTTTATTTTCTATGGAAATGCTCACTAATGTTTTATGTATTATTTATAATAGTCTTAAAATTGCGTTCGTTTGTTTCGCCAGTAGCTGCCGGACGAAGGCGAGGCCGGCAAACCTACAGCCGCTACCAAACGCTGGAGCTAGAGAAGGAGTTCTTGTTCAACCCATACCTGACCCGCAAGCGGCGAATCGAGGTATCACACGCTCTGGGACTGACTGAAAGGCAGGTCAAAATCTGGTTTCAGAACAGAAGGATGAAATGGAAAAAAGAGAACAACAAAGACAAATTTCCCAGTAGCAAATCAGAGCAGGAGGAAATAGAGAAACGAAAAAAAGAAAATGACCAAGATGAACAGGCACGAGTGGCTCGAGAAGAAGACAGCGAAAAAGCTAAACAAATATAGGACTACAAGCACGGAGTTCAACATTCTAACGTCGCTGGAGAACTTACAAATCTGAACTTTTGCTTAAGAACCATTAAATTCTTATGGTTATTGCTCATTGTTTAGAGTGATGTCAAAACAGGAAATGAAAATAAATATCGTATCCAGTGTAAAGAAGTTAAAATGATCTGACAGAGAGATACTGCATTTCTACCTAATGCTGGGAAATATTGTAGTGACATAAAGTAGCTACCTTTATTTGTGGAATAATTAATGTGAAACATTTTTGATGTTAGAATATTACTCTAAAATATACTTTGGCAGCTGTGTAGGTTTATTAATTGGTGCACTTTTTACTGTTCCCGTTAATCTTATGGTAATTAACGTAGCAAACTATGAAATCCAACAACATGAAACTGCCTATTTATGATGTAGGTGCTCTCTCTTTTTACGTTAATCCTTTGATAGTCCGTTTAGTTGTTATCGGTATTGTATTTTCTATTCTTGGATAGGCATGCGCACAGGGCAAAATAATTAAATAAAAGGCTTCGGTGACTGTGACACATAATGTATACTGTACTCGTGAATTACTTTATGGGCACTTGTTGTCATGCTTTGTTGTTCTTCACCTCTTTGTCTTTTGTCTAAACCTGGAAACGGCGGAAAAAGGAGGGCACAATAAAGTTTACAAGAAAGAATCCATAACAATTTTACTGTCTTCTGCTACTTTTTACCTAATGCGTCAGTCTTAGAGACTATGATCACTAACACGCGAATTAAACCTTCAGAAATATATGTCGTATATTGGGAGTTTATATTGTCTAATAGTATTTTATAGTAGTCTATGAATGTATTTCATTGACCTCGTATGGGTTTAGGTTGTGACATTATCATCGATGGTGAACAGTAAAGTATAAGTTTGCGAAAATGCTGAACACTTCAGCTATTTTATTTTAGAGAATTACTTACAGACCCCACACATATTTAGTATAGATTTAATTAGCAAATGCTCGATAGTTAATGCGCTTTACGAGGGTTTATTTTTTTCCTCAAAACTATTGACTCTAGAAATCTGTGTATTATTTTGGCTACTTAAATGTGCTCCTTTCCATTGAACTGCAAAAATTACGATTGTCTAAACCAAAAGCATCATAACTTCTGAGAGACAAAACCGTCGAGTTGATATATGGCTTGCAGACAGAGACCAACCACAATCTTAGACAACTCAGAATCTCGGGCGACTTGAAGGGAAAAGTGTGTATAGGAAATGGATGGATAAATGGATGGATAACAGGTTTTCATAATGTGTATGCAACATGTAAACCAGGAAGGCGTCTTTAAAAGTAGTGTATATTTTTTGGTGTTAACCTAATATATATTTTTTACAGATTGCAGGACTGTTAACACCTCATCAATTTATCTCAATGTTCAATTCTGATTTTTGTATAATCATTGAAGGTAAACTTACCAATAACATTTTTTTTAAATCAAGACTACTGCATATTTCCATGTTAGTTGTACAGTGTGAAGTCCATTTACCATTGGATGATACTAAATCACGTGCCTGTTATCACGTGGCCCCTGAGGAAAAAGAGGTGCTTTTTTGGTGTAAATCTGGATTGCTATTCTGTAATATATCACAGTACCTCGTAAAACCGACAGTAAAACCTCCCGGCCTACAAATCACCTGGTCAAAATATGAGTTCACTGTATTATGCGAATACTCTGTTTTCCAAATATCAGGCTGCAAGTTCGGCTTTTCCACCCGGGATTATTCCCGAGCAAAGTTCTTGCGCATTTGCTTCCAGCTCTCAGCGAGCCAGCAGCTATGTCTCGGGATCTCGTTCCGCTGCCTTTCCCCCCTCACTGTCGGGTCTCTACAGGAACAGCGGGAGCATTCATCCTCAGAACCAGATCATGTATTCCGGCAGGTATGATATTAACGCCAGCTCCTTCAACATTCACAGTCCCACCTATGAACAAAATGTGTCCATGCGTTCTGGAGATGTATCGAAGCAGTCCGACAGTGGTAAAACGGAGGAGCGGGACAGTGATCAACAAAGTGAAAGCACCTTTCGGATCTATCCTTGGATGAGAATCTCAGGTACGTTAAATTAGATAGGTGTGAAAGAAAAGTGAGGGCATCACGTTAGGTAAAACATCTCTGAGAGCAGATCGTTTTCCAGTGTGAGAGCCATAATCCAGACGCCAGTTATCTAAGCAAAACTTTTATGACTATACGACCCCAGAATGCCGTAATGTTTGTCACTTAAATATTCATTAGTTGGTATTGTATAACTAATAGTCGGCCTGCTTCAGCCTTGGATTTGGTGTCCATCGGTCTCGTCAAAACAAGAAAAGATCTGGAGCACTGGCATCTGGTATTTTGTGTGAGTAACCTTCCAAAACAGATTTCATGTGATCGTTTATAGTTGACTTCCAAATGCGTTTGTAAAAAGCATAGGCATTTGTCCTAAATGTGTTAATTGCTCGGCATGATTTTTGTTTTAAAACAACTGACAGACTGTATTTATGCAACACCGCGCATGGGCGTGTTATGGCGGCCTGTGAGACTGCACGGATGTGTACATATTTAGCTAGAAACACGGCTTTCGACGCGTCGATACCGCCTGCTGATTGTAGCTATGCATCCGTACATTTTACAGAAACTTTGCCATATTTTAGGTACATTGCTCGTCAGCGTTGTTTTCAAACACAAGATTGATGGGGTTTGATGTGTTACGTGCATTAACGTGCGCGAGGGTGTTCGCATCCTGCTTTATATCCTGTATTCACCGTCTTCACTGTCGAAACAGCTTTCAACAAATATTGCTCTACGTATAGATGCATCACTTTAAATGACTTTTTTATAAGTTCACAGAGCTGACATTAATAGCAGTACATAATCATATTTCAATAATATCTGTAAATATTTATCTTTAAAAGTTTGAACAAATGTGCAGTTTTACATTTTGTTTGTCTCATGTTCACTGATTTTAATTCCACTTAAAGAAGAAAGTGGGAGTCAGTCATTATTTTAGGAAGCATAGCCCATGTTTTTAACAGGAAACGCACATGATTTTACATTCGTACTTAACGCGGGCGTCTGTTACGGACTATCATTCTATATCCTCCAGTCTAGCAGTTGCATTTTTTTAATCCTGATTTTACATCGTGTACCAGATGCATCACCATGCAATATTGACACTCAAAAGGTATAGTACGCACATTTGTTATAGTCAACGACAAAACAGGATGAGCTCCCGAAATATCCAGCAAAATTTTAATGTGGCGGTATAGGTATAGGTCTTTGCTATAAACCCGACTGCTTTTGCTCACATAACTATCGTAGTACAACTCCATCAAGTCGACGTGGTTTATTTTAAACACTGAGCTTGCATGTAACCAGGGAGAATAGACATGCTGGAAAATATATTAAATATGCTACACGTTTTAGTCGAGAGAGTAATTTCCAAAAGTTTGTTATAGAGACGATTTCATTCAGATACGTTTAGGGCTAAGTAAAAAATTAGTAACTTAAAAGTTCGTAGGAAATCAAAGTAATAACTTTTTAACAGTAAACCTGTAGTACCTTCAGATTTTCAAGGCAGAATTATTTTTTTCACAACAAATTTTAGATCTGTAGTAAGTGTTGCGGTGCGGATTTTCGTAATGTTATACTACGGGAGCTGTAAGAAGTACATTCCCAGCATAAACATATGGTTATAACCCGTGTTTGCTAAACGTGCTCAAATGCATATGAAGTTGATTTAATATTATTTTTGGCCACTTCAAATTAAATCAAGTAAAAACAATTATCATAAAGTATTGACATGCTTTCTACTGTATGAATACAATTACGTCATTCTGTTAACTGTATAACTTATATAAGCCATTTCCTTGGACATACTTTTAAACTTTAACTTTCGTAAATAAAAAAGTTTCCATCTTCATCAAACAATGACTATTGGTGTGTTTTGAAATAGGCTGTAGGCCTACATTTTACGTGCGATTGGGGAAAAAACGGCGTAACTTTTTTTTTTAATGAAAACTAAGAATATATATTATTTGGAACTATTAAATACTATTAACTATTAAATACAGATGACAAATTTAAATAGGAGCCTGGTGATTTGTTAGGATTCCCAAACTTAGGTTTGATTCGTGTGTGTGTGTGCCCGAGTGTGTGTGTGTGCCCGAGCTTGTGTTTATGTGTGCAGTACCATTAATACTACAAACTAAGCTTCAGTGTTTCTGCCTTTGGTAATAATCCAAAAATCTAAGAAGTATTTGTGAGATGTATTAGTAAAAGTTAGCTAATGTTGCGACATATTACTAGTTAAATTAATATCAACGATTGTTAGCAACAAAAAAAAACATAATTGCCCCAACAGCAAGTTATTTAGAAGTATTGATTGTAGTAGTATACTAGTATTCATTTTGTTCAAATTATGTATATTGATATTAATATTTTCGTAATCGATATGGTATATCCATATTTCATATATATATATATATATATATATATATATATATATATATACATATATATATATATATATATATATATATATATATAATAAGATGACGCAAACCTCCAGAATGTCTGTTCAATGTACAAAGTATTATCTTTTGTATTAATGTTCAATTCAATGCATACGGTTCAATTCAATGCATGTCTTAATATACTGTCGCTATTCTAAGGTGTGGACAGAAAGCGAGGCCGGCAGACCTACACACGATACCAGACACTGGAGCTTGAAAAGGAATTCCACTTCAACCGCTACCTGACAAGGCGAAGACGCAGTGAAATAGCCCACGCTCTCTGTCTCTCTGAGCGCCAGATCAAAATTTGGTTCCAGAACCGACGTATGAAATGGAAGAAAGAGAATAAGGTTACTGATTTAAGTTCCTGCACCGAGGACAGGCCGGGCTGCGAGGAGGAGGAGGAACCAGAAGAAGAGTAGCGAAGAGTTTATACAAGTCAGTCGAGTAATAGTATACTAGAATGACATTCAATCCGATATTGGCTTTAATTTTCCCATTTTAGGACAATGAAAGTAAAGAACCGCACTACCTATTTGTATTTTGAAATAGTAGGAATTTATATGTCTACTTATGAAATCACATTCATTTATTTTTGTTTATATTTTAAGTATTTCAATCTTAGGTTTTACGTTTTAAGATGCTTGTGTCCTAGTTAGCAGAATCCAGTACGATACAGTTTGCGCGTATTTGTGTTGTAAGTTACGTTTGAAAAGAAATCATAAAGCATCCAAAAAGGGATAACGTATATCGTAGAATATCTATATTGTACATACAATAAACATTTACATCGCTGCATTTTAACTTGATGCGTATGGTTATTCCTGTTTTGTAGATTACCTTTCCCAAACAGCGGACCACAAGCAGTAGGTATTAATATTTTTGTCTGAAGGATAACACTGTGAAATGTTGAATTTTTGCATGTGTAATCTTTAGTGACAATAAATAAAAGGAATTTTATTTATATGCATTTGAATGCTATTTTAATTATTATAATCTACAATCTACCTTATTCTTTTCTTCTTCTTCGTCTTCTTCTTCTTAATAATAATAATAATAATAATAATAATAATAATAGTTTATATTATCAATTCACAACTGTCGTAGTACAACTCCATCAAGTCAACATAGTTTTATTGTGGTGGTGTCGTTGATTCGTTTTATGGTTGTATTGAGGCTGGTGTAAAATATGATACTACTTTTGACGTTTCCTTTTTCGTAAAATGAAAACCTCCGTAAGATTAAAGTACTTAAAGCTATTATTTTAGAAGCAATATAAACACCATTATTTAATTACGTCCTTTGTAAAGTTTCCCTACATTGCCATCAGTTATTGTTTCTACTATTAATTTTACAGCTATTGTTATGAAATGGGTCGTTTGAAGTTTTCACTGTTTCACTAGACTCTTGGTTAAATTTATCGCAATAAATATGCAATTTATTTATCAAATGTGGATACAGAAAATATGAAGGCAAGTACATTATTATTGGACCCAGGATGAGTATATGTGTCAGATTGGCCTACCTCAAAATATTTCTTTGAGCCGTACACCTAAAACTGTCTACAAAAGCGGGAACGGGGTATTACGCTACTAATTCTAATATGTAAGCATGGCTAAAGGAACAACAACCTGAATTTATTCAGCTTACATATAATGCCGCATTAGTCGTCGCATCGTTATGTGCAGTCTGAATACACACGTGTGTGTGGTTGTAGATTTAAAAGTTACTTAACCGGTTATTGAAAACACGTTTTCTTTTATTTCGCTTAGATCTGAGCTAACCTTCTTAGCATGTTCGGTCTGTTGTGCTTTGTTTTCAAATCAAGTGTTTTCATGTCTTAATCAGGTGAGTCAACTAATAATGTTTTCATTTGCATTCTTTTCGGTCTATCGAAAATTATTTTCTGACTATCCTACATATTATGTATTTAAACAATCTAAATATTCTCAGTACATCTCCGGCAAAGCAATTTCGCTGGAGTTTATTAATTTTAAAAAGTTGAAGATTTTGTGTGTGAGCCTAAACATTTTAATCATAAACATAGGTTTTAGCATGAAAACGCACACGGACAGCTCTTTAGGGTTTGTAGAAAAAAAGATGGCGACGGTAAGATGACTGCTTCTAAACCACTCGCGAAGAAATGCAATAAATTCCTTGTTGTTTTATGAAAATTTACAACTTTGTGATAGAACTTTATGAGTGGCTGAGTTCTAGGATTGGCCGAGGACGGTCATGTGGATAGTTAACCGTGAACATGAACTTTTTATGATTTCCCAAGTGGTTATATTGGAGCATTCTTTTGGTCACCGCGCCTTCAGTAGCAACACTGCCCTCCTTAAAGGTTCTTGGCTCTTCTTCATTTTTTTATAAATGAAAAATATCAATTTGCTTAGTGTCATAGTTCATGATGTCGATGAACAGAGTACGCGAACAGCCTACTCCGTGCTGCTATGCTAATGCGCCCTGGTCTGATTGGGATTTCCGCTACAATGAAGGGTGAATAAGAAATCTGGGCTCGATGGAGATCATCTCATTTTTCATATAGGGATCTTTCTCACTTTGCTAGTATAAATGATAGGAATGGAGGAGACTGAGACTTGCGCTAATGGCGGAACAGATTGGAGCAACTATAAGGTCAGACTAAAAGCAAGAAGCTAACGATTTCCTCTGGGCCATCAAGAGGCGTAATGAAGGATTATAAACAAAGGTAGGATTTGGTCTCCTTCACCATTCGTTTTTCATGCTTTGAATCCTAAACATAGCCTTTGAATCCTAAACACATATGCGTTAACAAAGTATTTCTTTAGAAATGCGGGATTAGGGTATATTCTACCGGATATGTGAACTTCTGGCGTTCAGATGAATTGTGACATATCACACAAGTTGTTCCGCATCCACAACTTGCATCTATTTGTGTGCTTAGAACAACTTTCAGTGTAATCAGTGCCTACTTAGAATTGGTTTATGCATTCTGTCTGCTACTTCGCTTCAGAATGCTAGTAATTTCCGGGTGTAGCACAGACTGGGTTTAATAGTTGTGTGTCCTGAATTTTGCTGAAACGTCTTGGTTCGGTTCTTTCTTGGAATGTCTCACCTGGAGGCAAACTGCTATGCGACATTCTGTCCTGTCCGTGCTCGGCTTTGCGCAGTACGAAAAATCAATAAAGCAAACCACAGCTATCATAACCATTTCATTCAACAATTATTAAAACATATTGTTATGAAAAACCAAGCCAGAAAACGTATCGTTTCATTTTACATGTGATGAATTGCTTCCCAATAAAATAATATGAATGAGAATCGGCAATACCATTTGTTACATACCTTAAATAGTGTTGAACTTGCTTTGATAAGTGCTATATGCCTTACGAAAAAAACTATTGTTTATATTGCTGTTACGTGTTTTACCATTACGTGTGCTACGACATTTGGCCTACATTTGAATTCTACCACTGCGGTTGTTGCCAGATATGACGATATTCCTAGCGGCCATAATTTCGGCAATTGCGTGTATGGCATATATTTACTATTTTTCAGTAGTGCCTGGTCACCCAAATAAGACAAATTGAAACGTGTTTCATGTTATTCGTGTATTTGGACGACCTCACATTAATAAAAATATCATAATTCTGAAAAAGATGGTTTTATTATATATTATATATAAGTGATAATTGTGTGTTTATATAATTATATAATTATGTATTATATATGACTATTTACTTTGGTTATAAGGTCTACGTATAGATTTCTTCTTCCACTAACAAGAACAAAACCAATAATAATAATAATAAAACTTTAATGTTTATATATATATATATATGATTCTTGGGGGTCGTGGTGAAATGAGACTGTCTAGGGTTTCTCAATTTAATCCATTCCAAATCTGCAGTCGTTCTGCGTCAACCTTCAGCGATTCTCTGCTCTTTGAGGCCATCTAGTGTTCATTTGGCAAAATGATTCCAAAAAAAATCTTCAGATGCTGTGGCAAATGGGAACCATAGGAAGTGATCTTGTGTATGAAAAGTGTTGCCTCGTTTTTCGCAACGAAACTAAGGGCAATAAAAAAGAAGTCGGGATTGGCTGAATGCTGGTGGGGGGAGAAGGGTATAGAACAATAGGAAAGATGGCGTTGAGCGTAGATTTTCGCTGTTGCGTACTTCTCTAAACCAAGCTCTTAGTAGTATTTGACATGCTTAAGTTGCACACATCCATCGTCCCCTGTCCCAGGCTTAAAACCACTGGAAGTGAGAAATGTGTCCTTCCGTTTCTTTCGCCCTTCCATAGCTTTTGACTTCGCCCGTGGACGTCCTGGGTTTAAAGGTTACTTTTATCATGTGTTGCAAAACTGCGACCCGTGGCCTCTGCTAAACTTTCACTACTGACTGTCAGACTAGATTTTTCATTTTAGTCATTTGTTCCCTTAAAGCAAAAGATCTGGTGAAAATATTACAATTATTAAACGATTTTTAAAAAAGTGCAAGCAAAGAGCAACAGAATGGTTATTATTCTTGTTATTATTATTATGATTGTTTTATTATTAAAAATACTACTACTATTACTACTACTACTACTAATAATAATAATAACAATAATAATAATAATAATAATTATATATATATATTAAATAATTATTTGATAATAATAATAATAATTATTATTATTATTATAAGACCTACTGTTGCTTGCATTAGTTGATTCCAGATAACAACTAAATTTGCTCGTTAAAATGGAAGTGAAGCAGATTAAACTGAATAGTGGGCAATAAAATATTCATAGATTTGTCTGTGCGAATGAAACAGCAATTATATAACTTAACGATGTAGCAAACTTAGAACGCAAAGTCTGTCAAGGAAACACAAATAGACTGCAAAAAGGAGAATGTAATCTGCGGTCTGTATTACATGACTTGATGTATTCTTATAGTACAGCTATATACAGCTATTTAAAACAAGAGTTCTGAAATACAAACATGTTCATTTGTGATTTAGACCTGTGCTTTGTCTGGTGATTTTAATTCACTCATCCAGTAGAAATCTGGTGTAAAATCAACAAAAATTTAACTTCCAAACAGTTTGCCCTGTATGTGTGGCATTACATAAGCCTGCAGTACTCTGTTAAACTCATTTTTTACTTTTTCATTTCTCTTTCGTCTGAGCGATTCAAAACAATGTATGTATTGTTTTGCGATAAGCACATACGACACAGTTTCCTGCGGGAAGTTTATAGCTATTTATTTATTTATTTATTTTTGCGGCATGTGCATTTACTTGCAGTTTTAAAAAGCAAAACATTTGAATATATTCCCTTTTAAAAACCCACGTTCTTTAGCGAGCACAAAAAAACATCTACATGTGATTTTATCGTTTGTTAGTTTTTGACTGTCAGGTGGGAATAATGTCCTATTGATTGAATACGATCGAATCATTGGTGGATATAGGAAACTCGGGTTCTATATGGCCAGTTCAATCACAATATTCCATTATAAGGTCAGCTATTCTATGTCCTTTCCTGATGAGCTAAGTTAATTTAAAAAAATGAAATAAATAAAATAATGAAAACACACTTATAGTTAATCTTTTTAATAAGCATATAACAAAAACACATTGCACATTTTATATTGAAAATGCAAATGCATATATAATACAAAGAAGAGGCGGATTTCAGATAAGTGTATCAATGTTTAAGTACCTCACACCACGCACTTCATGGTAAAACCATATTTGTACTCTACACTCTATAATATAACGCCATAGCACAACATTCACATTATATAATACAGTATATACCTCAACGGTCACGTGAACAGAATTATGATCAAATGACTAAAAAGTAAACAAATATATTTCCGAACACCATATAAGTAGGCAATTATGTAATATCTTATACTTACACGTTGTCCGACACTCAAATTGGGAGCTTTTCATTATAACTTTGTCAAGACAGAATCGGTTCCTTTTATTTTGCAAGTTGAACTTCAATTGTCCTCATAGATATACATGCTGGCAGGAGTTTCCGTCTCTTTTCCATCCTCGTCCTTCCATTTTCCACTTATTTCCGCCTCCACAGAAACGTTTCTATCTTTGAATCCAAACGCTCCACAAATTAAAGTTCTGCAAAGCGAAGAAAATGTACGTTATTAAAATGACAGCTGGGAAGTAGTTTCCTTCAGCATAGCTGTTTAGAACTTTACCGTGCGTATTCCACGTGAACACTTGGATATTACTTTTAATAGAACACTTTGAAAATCAAATTTTATGTGCATTTAATTGTGTAAATGCAGATGGGAAGTGCATATAAAACATCCACATTTTCTGCACCAGGCCACTTTATAATTAATGAAATATTATAACGTTCGAAAAATAAAAGTTTTGTTTATAATTTTTTGTTAATAGTATTTTTAATGATGCAAATATTAAGTTGATAAAGATATCTAATATTTTGTCACTTTTAAATTTTTACTCTAAACGGAAGAGGTTTGTATTATTGTTAGCTTTAACTTTTTTCGCGTTATTTTTCCCTGATTTTTTTATGTGAGGCAAAATAGATGTCTTTTCTACACCAAAATAGCACGCAAACAGTAAAATGCTTTATTATTGTCTACCACATGCTACAGAGAAGTCGAATTGAGTAAATCGATAAATTACTTTAGTACATTGAACGGATGATATTGTCCTTGCACTGTTTAGTATACGGAAGACGAATGAGACGATTTCCAAAGAGATCTCTGCACTGAAAATTAGTTGTAGGTTTAGTCTTGAAGTTATCATTTATGCATATGTGTATTGTTTTTATAATTCGCAAAAAAATAATTAATAGGATTTCATTATCTATAACTAAAACGTTAAGAATTCGTGCAAAAAGTAAAACCGAAACCTATTAACTATAATATTTGCGTATTGCACCCAGGCGGAATGATATGATATGCATATATATTCAAATATTATTAAATACATTATATATATAGTAAAATTTGGATAAAAAACAACATGCACAGGTAAATCTGAATAAATCTGGTTTTGAAGACGAGGATTTGGCCACAATGGGCTGAACTGTAAGTTTTAACGCACCATGTAAGAATGTGTGTGTGCGTGCGTGTCCGCGTGGTAATATGAATGTGTGTGTATGTACGTGTGTTTAGTTTTGAGTTTTCAGTCCTTGAATGATTCAGATTGCGTGATTTCATTGGAAGGAGAAAGGAGACATCTAAGCTTTCTGGTTTGCGCTGGGGTCCCCGGCGCATGCAATCAGAACCCCCTCATGGGTGCTATTTTGCTATCACAGAAGCTCGTGATTGGTCAACTACTGATCAGATGGTATAGTTCCCCTCTGTCCCACACTGGCACCTCGCCACCCCCTTTCAGCTAAAACCCAATCTCCGATAAACTACTAATAGCTAAACCACTTGGAATATATAACACAACAAATCATAAACCCAGGAAAAGAACGGTACCCTCCCAATGAGTTCCTATTTTGTAAATTCAACTTTCCCTGTTACTCTGCCCGGAGGACAAGAGTCTTTCTTGGGACAGATACCGTTATACTCCTCTGGATACACGGATCCTTTAAGACACTATCCCGGAGCTGCATATGGAGCTACCAGTGTCCAGGACAAGTCTTACCCATCTTATTATCACCAAACTAACAGTGGCTATGGCCGGACAAATACCGCTGGTAGTGCGTGCGATTATGCAGCAGCCAGTTTTTACAGAGAAAAGGACCCCGCCTGCGCGTTCGCCAGCCTAGAAGAACATTCGCTTGTTCTAAGCCCAGACCAGCGGAAATCAGACTCTACAGGGCAAAGTAAAAATATATTCGCTGATAACGATGAACTGAAGTCGTCTGCACCAGTCTATCCGTGGATGCAAAGGATGAATTCGTGCAATGGTGAGTCAGTACCTTCTGTCATTTTCGTGTTGTTGTTCTCGATAATTTGAAGAGTGTGGCTTCCATCCTAATGTACAGTACACGGAGCAGACTTTACAGTGGAAAAACAACATCGCTGTGGCAGTCAGAGAATACTATCTCAGGCTGAAGCTAGAGGGAGCTTAACCATTGCAAAGTTTTGGTGTGCTGATGTGATATTATCAAATTACATCTTTATACAGTAACATTGGACCATTTGCTTACATCATATATACCATTCTATTAAATTAATGCACCGGTGCGTGCTTATATTCAGTTTAACACGTAGTATTAATGCATTAAGTATTGATGCATAGCTGCAAATATGCTAAATAAATGCATTTATGTTCGTTTTTGAGGTGGGACTGTCTATTTATCATTTAACGATTCGAATAAACCGCCCAAATTGTCATTTATACCGTAAATAATCTGTAGGCAGTTTTATTTATCTAAATATAGCAATAAATTGACTTCGTGTATCACATTCTCTATGGAGCTAAAACAGTCGTATTTTTAAAAAGAAAAGCTTTTGTTGCGTATTATTAGAAACAGTAATAAAGCTCTCGTTATAATTAGTAACATAATAGGGAAACTGATTTTTTACAGTAAGGGCGGAAAGTACTTAAAACATCATTTACTGTTGTTGCCTGCAGTAACATTAACAGTCGTGATAGCTGTCATTGTCATTGCAGCTGTGACACTAGATGTATTTTTGTACGACTATTGTATAATTGCATTCCTGTTGTTGTTATAACTGCTACACATGTACATGCTTGTCATTGTCATAACTATGTCTTTTCTGACTGATTTTTTATAGGGACTTTTGGGAACACTGGCCGCAGAGGTCGTCAAACCTACACCCGATACCAGACGCTGGAGTTAGAGAAAGAGTTTCATTTTAACAGGTATCTGACCAGGCGGCGTCGAATTGAGATTGCGCACGCACTGTGCCTGACTGAACGCCAGATAAAGATTTGGTTCCAGAACCGCCGGATGAAGTGGAAAAAAGAAAACAAACTGATAAACTCTTCACAAAACACAGCTGACGAGGAAGAAGAAAAGAGGACGGAATAATGGACAAGGAAAAGGAAAAAAATGCAAATGACTAGTGTGCAATTGAATAAAATGGAGTTGCCTCTTTTTAAAAATGTGCAGCAGTTTAGTCATGCTAAGATATCTTGGTGTAGCATTCCAAACGTTTATCGCATTTCCATTTGTGATTTTTTACTATTTCGGGAAAACTATATGTTTGTGCCTCGTCTTCTCTTATGACTAAGTACCGTGTCAAAACTAATTGAAATACGTGTCATTCTCATTATGATATTTACGCAGTATGTAATTAAAAGGAAACTGCTCCTAACACATTGATATAGTGTATTTCCTTTGAATTTCTCTTTGAATATTACCGACGTGCAAAGTCTGCGAAAGAATAATAAGCGAATTTATTACAGAGTGCAAAGCAGATTACAAAAATTGACTACAGTATTTATGTTTTATTAATTTTATATGTAAATGTGTTTGTACATTTGTGCTCTAAGGTATCTAATCAGTCAGTATGTTTTGGTAATTTTAAAATCTAAAAAACTTGTTGTAGGTGTAATAAGGATACATTTGGGACAACAGCCTGTCTAATAAACTCCAGTGAAAAGTAGTTTAAAGATTTTCTGACGGTTTCAGTTGTGCTGCCATATTAAATCAAACCTTCCGCTTCAGGTGAACACTAACATATTGTTTTTATTTACTGCAGACATGTGCATAACCTTATCTATACCACAGATAACATACGTGCAGTGACGATTGGGAGACAAAAACTGAGCGGGGGAATGAAAAAAAATAAATGTTTAACTCAAATCCAGGTATGCTCTGACACGTTGTTAGGTTCAACATCTTTTAATGGGTTTCAGAAACGATCCGTACAGTGCATCATTCAGATATGTTAAGGGTCCAGATCATTTCAATTTGAAGCAAGACCTCAACTTCCGAATGCAAAAACCTAACAATATCCAAGTCGAATTTGTCACAATAATTCACACCTAAAGGAATATAGAATGCGAGCGTGTGTGTGTGTGTGTGTGTGTGTGTGTTTATCCATTCCTCTTTGAAGAGTTAGGCTCTTAAGGGTTATTACAACTAAATGTTGAAAATCTCAATAGATACTAGATGCTACTAACGTCACCTCATAACTAATGTAAATGATTTACATCAAAACCAGAAAATTACTATAATTATTTTTTACACAAACTAGAAGATTCATCCTCCTTTCCCATCACTATCATTGCACCACACACCGCGCACCACCTGCAGCCACCGCGAACAATTGCGTGTATGTGCGTGTGTTTCTGTACTATATATGACGGATATTTTTGCGCACTGAACATGCATATTGGCGTAGTCATAAGAAATCGGGGCAAATAACCCACAAAATCGCATAAAAGCTTGATTTTATTTTTTCGTGAAGTGTGTTTGATTTAGTTTCAAGATCTGAAGAGAGATTTTTTACTAAAGCTGCTACTATGGCAAATGTTAACCTGAAGATTACATTGATTCCCTTTATATCTAATCGATGTAACAAGTAACAATTAACTAGCCACTTATACTTCACGACGTTAAAAATTGTATCAAAGGTTATTTAGAAAAAATTTCTTTACATATTCTGACAATTTTTCCAAAAGCCCCATACAGTTCGATGCCAACCTAAGTATCTTAAATAACACCAGTACTAATGGACTACTGGTAAAACAATTTCAAATATTAAAAACAACGGTTAACATCTTGTCACTCTGGAAAATACTTGCTTACTTTAACTTTTACGGTAGCCGATGTTAGTCTGGCCGTTTTATATTGCTGTGTTTCATTTTATAAACGATAGAAATCACCCTGTTTGTGACTCTGTAAACTAGGTATTTGGTACATACTCAATCACCATTTTAATATTAGTAGAAGTATTAAATAAAACAAAGAATATATGTTCAACGTTGAAGAAATAATAGATAAAAACGAAATAAAATTGGAAAGAGATTATTTTGCGCTGCAATAAATTATGTTCCCAGTAGGTGACGCTCTCTGCCAACATGGAGCACAACCTTGCTATTGAGAAGCACACATTGCGTTGAGCTTAACGATTCTCATCTCGTCATCATTTGTAACCACAGAGCATGAATTACCTCTTGAAGTCATCAGTGAGAATTTACGACTGGTCAACAAAAGCACGTGATTCCTAAACGCACCCCCACCCCCATATTTGGCTGCATACATAGCAAAAACGAAGTACAGTGCATTGCTATAATTCATTAATACATCATAAATCGTGAAGCACAGCGTTATAACGACCAAGATCTACAAATCAAGCCCTCTACAATAACCTAAATGAGCTCTTACTTTGTAAACTCGTTCTCAGGGCGCTACCCAAATGGCCCCGACTACCAGTTACTAAATTATGGAACTAGCAGCAGCGCTATGAACGGTTCGTACAGGGACTCCGGCACGATGCATTCGGGCTCTTATGGCTACAGCTACAATGGGATGGACTTAAGCGTCAATCGTTCAACCACCAACAACCACTTTGGGGCTGTTGGGGATAACTCCCGGGGTTTCCAGTCTCCAGCCCCGGAGTCTCGGTTCAGACAGCCGTCTAGCTGCTCGCTTTCGTCTCCCGACTCCCTTTCTTGCGCCAACACCGAAACTCTGGGACCCAAAAGCTCCTCTCCCCCTTCCGACCAGAGCAACACCACCGCCAGCAATAACCTCAACAACAGCACACATTTCACAGAATTAGACGAAACTAGCGCTTCTTCTGAGACCGAAGAAGGTACCCACAGAAGCAGCAATCCCACTACCCGGACACAGCAACAGGAATCTACCGCAACCTCCACCACAGCATCGACCGATGGGCAAGCGCCACAAATATTCCCTTGGATGCGGAAGCTACATATTAACCATGGTATATATGCCGACGCATTGCAAACTTGCCTTTAGTATCGATACAATTGTTGTAATGCTTTTTGTTCATGTAATATTTGTAGTCGGGTTGAGCTTTTCTTTAGCACTAACTCCAAAAAGCGCCACAAATCTCTTAAATGTAGGCTAGCAAACTCAAAGAGAATGGAGACCGAGAACGAGGACATAAACAGGAAGCACCGTTAAGTTTTCATTTAACTGTAAACTTGTCTTTATTGCGTGTGGTGAGTTGTTTATATCTGGGGAAGAATATCAAAAATAAATTTGAAGGAACGAGAAAAAACACGAAACCGAAAAGTTGTGTTATGTAGCTATTGTGGACCAAGAAATAACACGTTAAAAAAGATATTCGACCCTTTGAATTACAGTTAGAATTGAATGTTTAAGTCAGGGCAAGAACAGATTCGAAGAAAAATCGTCAGTGTATTCAGCAATGTATAACATTTCTTTCTCACACACCACCACGAACGTGCAGATCTACTTAAATATTGGTTATTGCCATGTACATGTGTGCTATTATAAAAGTTGATTATATAATGTTCAGCATTATTGTCTGATAAAATGATATATTTTCAGTAATGGTTATTCTTACGTTTTGTCCATGCTATTCAGATATGACTGGACCAGATGGGAAAAGGGCCCGAACTGCGTACACCCGCTACCAGACGCTAGAGCTGGAGAAAGAATTTCATTTCAATAGATATTTAACTAGAAGAAGGAGAATAGAGATAGCCCACGCGCTATGCCTGTCGGAACGACAAATTAAGATATGGTTCCAGAATCGGAGGATGAAATGGAAGAAAGACAATAAACTGAAAAGTATGAGTCTTGCAACTGCAGGTAGCGCCTTCCAGCCCTGAATATTACCCATACAAATGAAATGAGAAGGAAAATGGGGAAATAAATAAATAAATAGATAGATAAAAATACTATTCCTCTGAGTACTGTACAGCGCAGCACCTTCGGTATGTTGTTGATGTTTTAGACATCTTAAAATTCCAATATGGTACTGCTAACATAAACATGATAACTTGTGTTTAACTGTTGCTGTTTTTATTGCTATGGTAATTATTTTAAAAAAGAAGAATGCTCTCCAATGCCTGTTGCTATTGTTACACGTATAGTTTATGTGTTAAGTGCTATGGTGATGCTTTCTTGAAGGTTAGCATGTTTCACGTGAACTCTTAAATGTTATAACTTATTTACGATCTATAACAAGTGTATAGTTCTAAGTTTACAATAATATGAAATGAATCAGTATAGACTAGTTGCAGTTGCAGTGCTTTTTCAGAAGCCACATTGTGTGTTCCATATTCTCTTTAATGTTACATTCGTGTTAACTTCTTTTATTCTTATCGGGTTATTAGATCGTTGATTTATTTCTGGAAAAAAAGAAAATTATTGTAAGGACTAGCCTCTTGTCTCCGTACATACGTGTGTATAATTCTGTTAAAATTGCAGTTGTATATTGCTGGATCACCTCTATGTCCCAAACCAGATGTAAATATTACACATTTTTATTGTGACCAATAGATTATTTGTAGTGGGCAGAGTGAATAACAAACGTTCTGTGGAAAATGGCAACTGTCACGTCGGACTGCCTGTAAGCATTTTGCCAATAAGCTTTTTGTATTTGTTTGTAGCTTAACTTGAAGTAAAAACCAACAAGACAATAAAGTTTCTCTTACGTAGATCAAATGTCTTACTCATTCTAATCCATCTGCTAGTTATCTCTATGTTATTATACTATTTACTTGGTTTAAACCATAAATCATCCATTAGACTGCAGTAACAGAATCTTTAATCAACATATGTCTACGCTTGTACGTATTTGTACGATTATTCCTGCGTGTGAGCGCGTCAGAGCAAAAGCAAATTAAATAATGCTGACATGTAGAACTCCGTAGATTTTGAGGAGTCTTGAAAAATCATGATCTAATTCGCAGGCAGCTTTTGAAAATGGTTATTCAGCATAGCGATAAACATCATTCCATCCTCATTTGTAATCTTTAAAATCTTGTCACTTATGATACAAGATTTTCCCACAACAATATAAGCCACTTTCAATGGCAAGGCAGAGCAAGCCATTAATGACTTAACTGAAAAATAATGTAACAGCATACATAATGTTTTCACGCAATTCACTTACACAGCTTGGATTTTGAAAGTGTCCGTCCTATGAGAATTTTGTTTTCAGTTTGAATGATTTTCGCAGTAAAAAATGCCTCCCCCGCTAATCAAGATTAGGCTTCGTTCACAATAAGCAAACTTCGAACTTTCAAACTTACCAATTACTCCACCACTTATGATACTTCATACGCTATTTTTGAGGGATGATCAGCAGTTCTGCCAAGAAAACTGTAGCCGTTTGCCATTGCCTGTCTTTAGAAATTTTGCTTTGCCAAACTATACCAAAAGTAGCTATGACATTTACATGTCAAATGGATGAGGGTTTTATCTTCAAGTTAGATCGTAAAAATTACCCAGGCCATAGACAGATACCCCTCACTGGCTCTCAAAAGTCACGTGGGATCCATAAAGTTAGTTTTATGGTTTTGGGGAGTTGACAATGTACTATATATTTCACATTCTAGAATGTAAGTGACGGTTTAACTGCTTCGAAGAGATTCCAAAGGGTCAGTAACAACCAGGGACATTGCAGAACCAGTCCTAGACTTGCCCTGTTCTCCGTACATGCCTTGATTGCCATCCGATTTCGTCATTGGGTTATATTTTGAGGAGGAAATCGAATGATAAAGGATTGTTTCACTTTAAAGTAAGAGCAGATTCTTCACAACCTAAATTTGCTGATGACCGTATCTTGGGCTAGGAAGGAAGGCGGGATGAACCTATCCAATCGTGGTGTCATTACTAATAGCCCGTTTGACTTTCCTTCCCAGTTGATTGCAGTGTTGGTGAGTCTTTGGAATTCTGTACGTTTACTCAGTTATAAAACATTATACATTAACTCCTTAAGAATTTTAGATGTGTGTATTTGTGTATACATGCATGTAGCCTATCCCTGGATGCCTGTCCTGAAAATTTATATTAATCCGTAGCTGTACTATCCTATTTTCTATTAATATTGTGTTGTATTTTGCCTGGTATATATGCAGAAGAATACTCAATATTCTGGTACATTCGAATGTTCAAAAGCGTTTTTTGTTCAGTATAATCATGTTTAAATGAGTTGTTGTATTCCTGTATAAGTTTAGTTCTTAATGCAACAACAAACAATTAAATAAAATGTACATTTGGGGCATACGTTTAAAGATGTTTCTCTTAACGAGTTACATGATGCATGTGTGTAGATTTTAGATACAAGGCTTAAAGTATTGCAAACCAAAAAAAAAAAAAAAACAAATTCCTCTGAAATTTAAAAAAATTCTATCAGAATTTATTTAGCGCGTCAGTGAATTAAGATGTAGAAGTGTACGGTGTTTTCGAAGCAAAATTAGAGATAATTGATTTTTCATTGCAATTTTTACATTCTTAAACGGGCGTATAAGTGTAATAAAAAGTAGAAAACGATGCAAAAAATATCGAGAGAACCACTAAAAGCCACCTGATACAAAGCATTAGACTACTTTTAATTGATAAAGGGGAAAAGGGGGGGTGGGGGGGGGGGGTTCCAAGTTTCTCTCCACATGCCTGGCTACTTCAGCTTTGGTATTTAAAAATTTGATTCTTATTGCTGTGTCTCTTCAGTAGTCGTGATATAGCGCAAAGCTTCATAGGCAAGTCACGGGATATCAAAAGCTCTTTAGTAGTTGTTTTCTATTTTTTTGTCGGAAGTTATAAAACAACGTTTCTGAAAATACCGAAATAGCTTCCAAGCAACCAAGCTCAATCGGTTTCATCACTCTATACCGGTTTTGTATGCTTAACACTAAAGTGCTGACAATAAAAAGTACATGGTTGCACATGTTTTGCATTCATACTATTATCCTACATTGGATTTTATTGTAGTTTCCTTCGTTGAAGGGTGTTTTTAGGTGATTAAAATAGTTCTTAAAAATAGTGTCACCTTTACACCTTCATTTTTAACCTTTAAAGTGCATTTATGAAGGTAATTTTCAGACTTATTGTAATATAAGCTTATAATATAAAAAGCTTTAGCATTTTTGTTTACTACAATCGGCACTTGCCTGTATTTTGCATTGTAGACTTAATGCCACCCTCTGGTATATATTACAGTATAGTCTTGGGAGGTCATCCATTTTCTTCCCCTTTAATAAACTAAGGAAGTTTAAGGGAGTAAACAGGAAATCAAAGCTCTAACTGTGAAGAAAGGCCAGGACTTCCATTCCATTTTTCATCAGTTTCCTTTCTTTAATTATATGGTCAGGAGGTTCAGCCCTTCGGCCTACACTTACGCACAAAATCTCTGCAATGCAACAGACTGAGATATCAGAACTGGCAACCCATGTTACAGTGTTTCTAGTGCAGTTTTCAGAGATTTTTCCAGCCTTGACGTGGGTTTTTCTCCTGTATATTAGAGTGAAAACAAACATTGATGAAGAGCCCTTGCCCCTGGCTTTGGCATCACAGATACTGGTAACAAGCACCTGTGTAGTCAGTGGCATAGTTTAGAAGATTTGTTCATACTAAAGACATTCTCATTACTTTACTAGAAAGATGTCATTATATACGAACCTAAGGCACTGGAATTGTTTTCGAAAACATCGTCCCAGGTGTCTATTTATAGTCAGAACCTAGCATTAACTTTGATATTCAGTATTATCAGAATACAAAGTATACTTTTCCTTTTATCTTGAAAAATGAAGTTATATATAATAAATTAATAAGCAAATAAATAAACTGACAAATAAATAAATAAGTAAATAAACAAATAAATAAACAAGCAGGCTCTAGTGGCACAGGTTCTAAACCTTTTCAACAAAGCAATTTTAACGTATTAAATTGCCATTTTAACAGTGTAATGTGTTTTGCATATTGATAGGGGTAATCTGTGAGCAGATCTCATCAATAATTCATAGGGATGGGATCATCGCGAGGTCAGCAGACGAGCTGTGCAAAAAGACTCTATTTCGAAGCGAAGGCTCCCTACAATACAATGAGTTCATCTGACACAATTATGCTTTCCCTGGGATATCAACACAACAATTGGAAAAACTAGAGCTTCAGTTTTGTTTGCTTCTTATTTAATTTCTCGATGTCAGGTACTTACCTGAAACTTTTTGCAAATCTTAAATTTTGAATTTCAATAGTTTTTGAATTGTGTTAGTAAAGTGTGTATGTGTGTGTGTGTGTGTGTGTGTGTACGCGTATTTGTGTGTAATTTCCATCCTTGATTTTCGTCTTTCGACCTCAGTTTCTTACGTTACTTAAAAATAGTACTAATGAGTTTGTGCTAAGTATTTTACTTTTACCGTATTTAATTTTAAAATGATAAAAAAGCAATGAATGATATTTAGTGAACAGTACTATGTTAAGGAATAAGTCTGAAAAGCCCAGAGTACGCCATCCATTCAGTAGTATGAAGTGGTCACTGTTCCAGGAAGGTTAGAGTAATTATTGATTATGTGGCGCATATGAAACCGAATTTAGAGGGCGTATTGCCTAGCAGTTGGTTTTCCGAATTTTTATGTCTTATGCATCAGTTTATAATCTCTATAGATTCAATATCATAAGGCGACATGGAATGCGATGCTGGTGGAAGCTAACGCGGTATTACCATACTAATATTTTATTAATTAAATTATTATTTCAAGCATATTTGCTACAGTAAAAAACTTTAATGCTACTAATCCCCACCTCACTTTTTGTTTTATAAGCCTCAGCAACTGACCTGACATTACTATCTGTTATCAGAATGTTGGAAAGTTTTTGGTACAATATTGAATTGTGAACAAAACATCAGAACATATCAGTTACATTGACTGATATGTTTATTTACTTCGGTCTAAATGTTTTAGTATTCTAGCTACCTTTGAATAGCAATAATTAAACCGACAACAATAATAATAATGTTTATATTATTTAATATGTTTTGTTAAAATATTTATTTTTTGTGTTGTAACCAAGTTTTTTGTTTGCTTGTGTGACGAATAAATCTATGAAAATACCTGTCATGAACGAAAAATGCAAACATAATTAGAAAATTATTGTTAATTCGGGCGCTTTCCGATTTTTTAGGATTAAAGTAACCGGCACAGAGAGAGATATATATATTCCAGCAACTAAACCAAATACTTTGCCCATTTCAACATCACGCTCTAAGATAAATAAAAATAAGATAATTCTGTGTACGGATTTTTGATTTTCACATATCTTGTGTGACACATAAGCATGCACGCTTTTATTGTTAAGACTTGAATTTATTTCATTTTAAGCGCTGTAACGCCTCGTTATCGCCAGCAGAGCCCGCTTTAGACCAAGTTCACCAGCATTCTTTGAACGCTCTCATACACCTTTCTGTTTTTTACGATGGAGCGTCGTTCTTTTTCATCCACTCCTTTCGTTTTACCAGAGCAACCAAATATCTAGTTTAAATTTAAAATGTGTTGCCTTACTCTGCATATCTTATTAAACATCGGGTAAATAGTAAAGCTGTACACGAATAGTGTTCGACCCTTCCAGATCTTTTGAAAATAATCCGTGAAATATGTTAATAATGCCTCCGTGTATTTCGTTTTACCTCCCCTTACGTTTATAGAATTCTGCATTACATACACAAGCGACAAAATATCAAATGGGCCCCTTAAGCATTTCCCTCCATTCGCATGAAGTGAAGGTGAAGCCGGCTTGTTAGCGCAGCTGTATAGCCAGAGGGGTCAAAAAGTTGAGGGTCAAAAGTTTACGTCGTGCGTGACTCTGTCAGCAGTTGACTCTGAATTCTAGACCAATTGCTGGATGTCAATGACAAAAAGAAGAGGAAAAAATGGGAAGAAATGGAGAGGGGGTGCAGGATGCGCGAAGAGAAATTATTTAAAAGCAAGTAAGGGGATTGAAGTGTCGACCTTCATAGTGTCCCAACTGAAGCAGGGCACAAGTGAAAAATGGATAGACGATGTAGTGATGGAAAGATATTCGATGGGCGGGAGGGGGGGAGCGGTTGGCAGGGGCATAATGCTATCTTTTCTCGTTCACGAAGTTCACGAAGCGGGTTTTATAATGTCCACTTAATGTCCATCTAAAAATATATATTTTAAAAAAAGTTGTCATTATGCATAATTTAGAGATACAGAATTTCCAGCAATAAATCACTGCAAACCAGACTTTGTTAGTTCCAAATGATGCAACCCACAAGATATCACGATTGTTTTGTAACTAGCGATAGTTTGACTACTGAATTACATGAGACATGTAAGTGGAATATTGATGAAGTTATTTAAGTAAACATCATAATAACTTTAGAGAAGATTACAGCAAGTATCACGGATAAATTCATTGTATTTCGATTCCTTATTTTCTTTACAAAACTACAAGAAAATATAAAAAAGAACGCATTTTCTTCCGACTGAATTATGTAGTTCGTTCAAAATATGACAATTTACAGCTGTCAAGATTTTTTGACTACGGCTATAGATGCTTCAAGTTATTCGAATGTTAAAACTTACTGAATCATGGTATTCGAGTTTACGTTTTAATTTTTTTATTTATTTTGGTCATCTTATGCCAACTTACATATATATATATATATATATATATATATATATATATATATATATATATATATATATATATATATATATATGGGCCTAATAGTACAAAAGGAATATTTTCACATTGAAAAAAGAATAACTGAACCAAAGAAAGTGGAAAAAATATAACGAATTTATAGGCGGATAACGCTGCTAAAGCATATGTATTGCACACCCTCTGCGAATTCCGTACACTGCTAATGCACTTTGATAATATTATATTGTGTTCTCGTGTAACATATACGTCAAAAAGTCGAACTATCAGCATTAAAGATACGTTTAATAATAATTTCACCACTATAATGTTAAATTGCATTTTACACCTGGAATCGACTTGAATGAAACGCGGTGGATATTATAAAACATGTTTAGAATGACTCAGTTTGTACATAACCATGAGCTTTTTGTCTGGTGGAGATTTGCAGTAGCAGGGAACAAAAATGCATTTAGCAAATGTATGCATTATCCTGGAAATATTTGAACAGAATCATCATATAAAGTTAGGGAAAGGTATAATTCAATGTCATTTTATTATGGTTATAAAAGTGGTTAAATAATACTTTTCGCGTGGGGTTCATGCAGAGGTCACTGAATTAATTTCTGTTCCACTGAACCTGCGCCTTTGCCTGGCAAAGCCTTGCTGTTCGTTTTAATATCTATAAACGCCAGCAATTTTAAACATATTAAAGCAACTGCATTTATTTATCGATTTCAATAGAACAATTTAACACTTTCATAAATATTGCTGAATACCCACAATTTATTTTATAAAAGTCTTTGATACTTATCTCGATTTATTGTTAACTTACTGGCCATGTATTATTTTTTTAAGAAAGAAAAATGGGAAATTTATTGTAGAACTGTTGGAAATATTAGGCAATTGTTTTGTACAGTTACTTTGGAATTTTACCCTGCTTTTAAAATCTGAATTGTATAACTATTTTTATTTTTTAAAATGCAAACAGAGAAGGATATTTACGGAAACCCTTGTCAATGTGTCAAACTTCGTACCTCAATGACAGGCATGGTTACATTATTTTGTGAACATTGCGTTTTATATAAAAATGCGTTCAATCAAAATGAAAAAAAATACATATCACGAGGAATTATTTCTAAATTAAACTGAATTCGGTTAATTTGTAAATATTTATATAATAAACGAAACTCAAGAAGCGTGTCACAGTTGAGCTGTTTTGTAGCCTTGGTGTCTGTATCGAATGAACCCGCCTTCATTTCTCTTCGAAGTAATGACCTAGGCGCAATTCAATATAACCAAGCAAGCTATGCATATATTACCATAGAAGTGGCAAGTGGGAGAGACTCGAAGACGGGGTGAAACGCAGGTCAAAGCGTCTAACAAATATTAAAATGTACCGAGCTTACGACACGCCTAGCTGTTTAACAAAGAATGCCAAACTATGAGATTAATACGAAAACTTGCGAGTTCTCAACAAAATGCTTTGGAGCACCTAGTGGTTAGTCACATTTATAATAGTAGTAGTGCTTTGTATGTTTTAGATGTCTTGGGGGAGATGGTGGTGTAGTATGAGAGAGAGCACTCATTGTCGTTGATACAAGGTTAAAGCGACAATTGCGCGACTGCGGTCGCTTGGCAGAAGACATTGATCCCTAGCTGTGTTTTACCTTAAATTTCCATGATATTATGACTCTATATGCCTTGTCCACTGTCTGATGCCTAGGACTGTTTAACATTCACTCGCTTAGTAAAACTATTAAAAACCGGAGCTGACGCTTTACGACGCCGTAAGGGTGGATGATGTGAGGAAGGTATCATGGAAAGGTCACGGGCTCAACCTGTGGCGCAAGAGAAAGGAAAGGGGTTAGACTCACGGGATGGGGAGCTAAGGATGGAAAGAGATAATAACCGAAGAAGGACCGCATAGTGAGTGAAGGAGGAAATGGAGTTCGAAATCAGGTGAATTGTGCGAAGCTGGTAACAACGCTGAAAATAAGAGTAAGTAGCAGCTTAATTAACACGCAATATTGTTTTGTTGCTATCGCGAAAGTCTCTAGCAGGTGCTCGCTTCTGCAGACCACGTGCTTAGAACGGCAGCAGGTCAATTCTTTTATTGTAATCGACTGAAGAGTTAAAATTAATTGGTGGTGGTTGTTCGTCATGTTTTTGTAATATGTTTATTTTGTAATGGTTTATTTTAATTTCGTTACTTATTTTGGCCAATTTACCTTTCATTCCACAATGAGTATATGCGTTCACCTCCATGTTAGAAAGTCATCGAAAGTCAGAAATTCATAGATTAGTAATATCTTAGTAGATGTATTACGTATGATGAACTTTAGCATGATGTACTTTAGACTTTATATTTATGGTAAAATCCTCGAGTTTTCTTATATTCTCTCCATCTTAGCAATACAGTCAGCTTACAGAAAGATATACATTTAAAAATGTTATCAAATAAATATAAGCAATACCCATTTTGTGGAACTAAAATGTAAAAATAGGACAAATGACCAAATGAGAACGCTGGAAATTGCCACTGAAAAACAATTTCTTCAAGGCCCATACTAAGTTTTTTTTTTGTTTAAACGCTAGGGGTGCTCTTGAATTTTATAATGTGTCCTTGTTTTGGAAAGCAATTAGTAAAGCATCTATTTATAATGAAAAATATTATAATTACAAAATTGTTGTTTCGGGTGCAAGCATTTCTGAATATTTCTCCACCAAAAACGAAGTTACAAACTAGCATTTTATTTTCTATTTTGACAAATACGTATAATTTATTTTATAAACAAGAGGTGATACAATAACTTTATAAACTGGAAATTGTTTTAGCCATATAATGATTGCAATGATGTTTCTTACATATTTATCCTACTAACAAAAAGCACTTTCAATTTGCAGTTATTCAAAATGGGCGCTGGATTATCAAAGAAAAAACAATGGAAGCAAATGCATTAACAGCACGGACTTCTGTTTTCAACTGTATCGAGGGTGATATAAATTTAAAATTCTTAGAAATGCATTTTACATTTCACCTTACAAATACGCATATTTTATTGCCAAATCAAATAAATATAATGTTCATTTTATGTTTACTATATATTCAAAAAGGCATTCGTCTACATTATATTAATTCGCTGTTCTTCTGTAGAATAGCTTCAACGTCTCATTTTCCCTCTTTCTCTATACTTTCCGTTAAGATTGTTTTAAACTCCTAATACCTGACACCCTGGTACTTGGCAGTAATACTTTAAATTCATTGTTGAAAAAGGTCTTACCTTGACTCACGACATTTGTAGAAAGTCGACAGTCCGGGTTTTACTTTTTCTTACTGCGTCTCCAGAGGTTGAGATCTGTGTTTCTGAAATAGAATAAAGCAGTAACGCTTTCCTGGGTGTTGAAAGACAATGTTTTATGCGAGAGTGAATGTGTAAATGTCGTAAATTGCATTGCAATGCTTTGAGGATGTGAAGAGTTTCGAATTTCTTCCGGTCTGCATATTTTATTGTTTTATTATACGTCCTCATCCCGGATATCGGGTAGTCCGAGTTGGTTTACAAGCAGTTACAGCCTACCATAAAAAACAAATGTTAATCTGTTTCGACGCCTGCTTTTATAATTTTCTCCCCTTTTGCCTCAGCATGTACTGTTGACGAAGTTTTCCACGCGATATCAGTGAATTCCAGTATTTTAGGACACGGGCAAATATTTTGTGTTACAAAATGTGAGATTGTTTGTAATTTCTCTGCATTTTGTTAATCTTTAAAATGTATGAATTGTAAATATTTTGCTGGCATGAAAAAAAGATGTATTTATATGATAGCTTTCTTTTTCGGGATACTTTATGTACAGCTAAAACGACCATAAAGTTAACGGTCAATTTTGGAGGGCAGTTAGCGGGCTGGGGTCGGGACAGGGTCATCCAGGTAGCAGAGAACACCTGTCATCTATATATACCCTGTAGATCCGAATTTGTGTGAATAGAAACTCGGTCACAAATTCGTACCTAGGGGAGTATGTAGTTGACATAAACACTTCGCCACTGCAGAATTATGAACATGGGCGAACATAATTTAATATTTATCCTAGTGCATTATTTTTTTATACTACGCTTAATATGAAAATTCATCTTTCATTTAAGTGTCTTCCCATTATATAGTTCTGAATGCTGTGTAAAAAGAATAACTTCAAAAAACACAAAGTCAATACAGAATTGACGGTATTCAGTAATATATTATTGTTTTATTAGAAGAATTCTAAGAAAATAAGACATTTGCTTCAATGTAACCTTCAGAATACTCGAAATGTTGACAACATTGGGGTTATTAATATTTACAATTTGTATGCAAGGTGTGCGAATTTGCGTGCACCATTAACTCGGTCATTGTAAAGGTTTAGCTGGCTTCGTTTTAATGCAAGGGTCTAACTGTGATTTAGAAGGCCCAGTAACCCGAATTAGTTGATGAATTTTCTATTGATCCAAAACAAGCCTAGATTTATCTCTGACAAGGTTTGGCCCCACGCTTAAGAGCGTTCTTTCAGTTCTATTAGTAACTACATTCAAAGTCTGAAGAAGATTGCACCGTCTTCCATTTATTTTCACGAATGCTAGCCGAAATATGTCCCAAGTTAAAATGTGACTGATAGCCGAAAGCAACATTGCCTGCCCTTGATTAGTTTAAAAAATGAAGGTAAACGGGAGGCCGTCCTCGCCGGAGAGGACTTCCTATTGTTGAACCAAGGATGCCTTTCACTTGGCATTTTTATTCATGTAACTGGTGCGATTCACTCTGCTGTTTATAATGCGCATGCCGGTGGATGAAATGTATGCAGATAACATTAGAGAAACTCAAACTATGCACAGATGATGTTTCAGATCTGCTAAATCTAATCCCATTTCCTTATCCGGGAATCGCTGGGAACCACGCCATTGGTTCTTGGTGTCACATGGATTTTTAACTTTGTTCACTTGACAGAAAGTAGGAGGGTTTTATCAAACAGGAAAACGAGTAAAGGGATAGAAATAAATTTTCTTGTGTTTTGTGTGCAATTCAAAGAAATTAATGGCCATGAGTTCCTTTTTGATAAACTCCAACTATGTGGATCCGAAGTTTCCACCCTGCGAAGAATATTCGCAGAATGATTACCTGCCTAGCCATTCGCCAGACTATTACGGCGCCCAGAGGCGAGAGGCTGCCTTCCAGCATGAGGCGATGTACCATCAGCGGTCGGGCTGTACCGAACCTCCGTACTCATCGTGCCATGGTTCCGGGGAACCTACAGCGGTTATGTCTCCGAGGGGTCACGTCTTACCCCCGCCTGGACTCCCTACTCCGCTCCCTGAGCAAAAAAACCATTGCGATTCTGTAACACCGAGCCCTCCATCCGTGTGTGTCCAGAACTCCGTCAGGCAAACCAATTCTTCTTCCAGTTCATGCAAAGAGCCAGTGGTTTACCCTTGGATGAAGAAAGTCCATGTAAACATTGGTAAGTGTTTCTAAGTTATATTTCTCTGGTTGTTCAACGTGATTATTCGAACCCGTGTGTAGAATTGACTGATCGGTGTTAAATCTTTTGGTGCACTGTGAAGTAGCCCAGGAGATTTACGATCGGTTGTTTTCAGGGCAGTATAATTACATCCTCAATAAATTTTTATTGCGCTCACTTGTACAAGCACTTTGAAGTCTTTGCAACCTTACCCTTACTATTTCTCTAGGGGAAGTGTTTTTAGAAAGGATTCCTAAGTTGAATGCTTTCGTAACATGTTTCTCAGTAGAGATGTGCTGCGCATGGGAGATCCCATGTTTTGTGCGTAGTTAGATAAAGTTTGTAGATTTCAATAACAGCTAAACACTATAAATAATTAAATAATATTGAAGTGTATATAAAATGTTAGTGCCATTAGAACTAGATATTTTTGAACGAGGTTATTAAAACGTACCTCTAAAAAGGAAAAACCTAACTTTTTGTGGCATCACCCTATAATGTAAAATCTCTGCCGCTTGAATACGACTCTTAAATAAATTCTATATGAACAGAATAGATTTTATCTTATACATCTTAACTAGTTGTACAGTATGATACTCTTTGAGTTTGGTGAAGTTGTGCTCGTTTAAAATAATTTTATAATCTTATACACGCTCTTAGCCATCAGACCCAAGCACGTGGATGAATTAACACCGTGTTCCGTGTATTTTTTTACAGAATTGACATATTTAATTTATTCTGCAGTGTAAAATGACTTGAGTTTAAATATATCGCTCTTGTATCCTCCAAACAGTGAACCCAAATTACACAGGAGGGGAACCAAAGCGGTCACGGACAGCCTACACAAGACAGCAGGTTTTGGAGTTAGAAAAGGAGTTCCACTACAACCGCTATTTGACCCGGAGACGTAGAGTGGAGATTGCTCATACCCTGTGCCTTTCCGAGCGTCAAATCAAAATATGGTTTCAGAACAGACGGATGAAATGGAAAAAAGACCACAAGCTCCCTAACACCAAGATCAGATCAGCTGCCTCCTCAAGCACAAACTCAAACAGCAGCCAAGTGCTGGGGAACTCTCAGAACCGATCCAGTGGACAACCATCAAGTCTATAGCTTTATGCACACCTATCCATGCACACTTTAGACCTCACCGTATGGCGCATATTCGTTGTGATTTTTTTTGTTTTTTATTCGTATTTTTTTAATTATTATTATTATTATTATTTTGTAAATGAAGAGAATGGCGCGATGTGGGAAATGAAGAAAACACTAGAAATTGCCGTTATTTATGAAAAGATGAAGACTGAAATAAAGCACAGATGCTTCTTTTTGTGCCATTCTAATTCTTTGTTCCCATTTCATTCTAGCTCCCCCTCCATTAATGCCAATGGTTGCAGATAGCAGTTTTCAGATTTTGTGAAGATGGATCCGTTGTTTCGTCTTTAATCATGCCAAACCCAGTCCCATTTGTCATGTTTACTCTGCAGTACAAAGGATGACCGTGGGCCTGCAGTTACCTCGACATCCAACATTGTGCTTAATAAATGATCAACGGTTTCTTCAAGAAGCGACGTTTTTAAAGTTGTTTTTTTTTTTGTACCTTATTTAATATCTTGAACACCCGAATTTTTAGTGTCACTTACCATACAATGCTAGGTGACTAAAACATTAATGAACAAGACGGAAAACGATTGTGTATGCCATTAGTAGTTAGTTTTCAGAAATAAATGTTTATCACTTTACCGGATTTATAATGAACTATTAATCGAATGAGGTATATCGTTCAATCTGAAGTCTAAAAGCAATGACATTATAATATTGAACATATAAATACCTTAAGCAGATACGAACCAAAGGCCCCAAAGACCATTTCATTCTGGAAAAAGCACTAAATGGTAGATTTAAAAGTTTAATTACTTTCGATGTTATTTTGTTGTTTAATTTTGTCTTTATGCGTTAACTACGTTGTGACCCTTTTCACATAATTTGCCCTGCAAATTTTCGACATAATGTTCATTCATTTCTTGTAAACCAAATGTAAAGTAAAAACTAGCGAAGAACAAAGGTGGGTATATGCATGATTAACGTTTCTTCATTTCTTTTTTGTTAATTTGTTCTCTGCACACGATTACACACTTGCTTCTTTCTAGGTATTATAGGTAATTCGTTTCATCTCTTCTTTGCATTCCGGTCCTCCCTTGTTATGACAGAAATGTGGTCTTCCATATTTGTATTTCGGTCGTTTCTTTCTCATACTTCGTGTATCTATACCTTAATATTTGTAAATAGTGATAGAATGAATAAAACAAAATACGAAATGTTATTATCACCTTTGTGTCCTTTTATCTCTCCTTCTTCGTAATAAGCATATATAAGCATACACAGTAATATCTGTAATCTGAATTACACTATTCCTAACAACAAACATTTTATTATACAAACATTTTTCCATTTTTAAGGACAGATTTCTGTTCGTGCATACGTATCTTAAACAACGGTTTTCTTTTTGGTAATTCTGTATGCCTCATGGACGAGTAGTCCTGCTAAATTGTGTCTTATTTCTTGTCTTTAATCAACCCCCCCCCCCCCACCCCCCCGTTCCTCTCATTTTATCCGTATTTGCTGTTGCAGTTTGCTGATGGGAAAAATATAAGTGAAACGAGAATCCCAACCGAGTACGTCTTATAAGTTGCCTTGTTCAAAAAACGTTTATTGCATTAATGATTGTAATTTTTATACGAACGTTTCTTCGTGTTTGTAGATTTTGTCTTTTTTAATGGAACGGATCTGTGTCATATCTCAAACCCTGTCAAACAAAAAGATAATCAAAAAGATAAATGGTTTCTTTTGCGAGGCGCAGCCTCTGTATTAATTTTCATTTTCTTTCTGTGCAGAAGTATTGGAAGAATAGCACACATGAAAATAGCCTTTTCTTTTCCCAATTTGGAAGTTACACGACAAATATACCCTTTTACTGCTAAGTGAAAATTTCATGGCTCAGAACAGATTTTCTCTTTACTCCAATGATGATTAGGCATTAGAAATTAGATCCTGATATTGTCATTTACTTCGCATCTCACCTGCTACTCCTGGTATAAACCATTTAAATAATCTGAATGATGGTTGTTAAACGAAAAAATAACACTTTACATGCTCTGACGTCATTTTCTTAAAATAATCCCAACTGGTTATATGGTGGAGAGACTCTTACTGCATTTGGAAAGTACAAAACTCTTTAACCTTGTGTAGCTCGTATTTGTAAATTTTGCATCATCTAATATACTCTGCAAATAAACGTTAATTTTAGGTTATTAAAACAGGCCACCGTAAATATGGGTTTACAGCTGCAGGAGTTTATTCACGTGCTTTATGGCATTGTGATCCCTGTATTGCAGCTTGTGGAAAAAATGAATTTGTGTGCAGAATATATGCACATAGGAATTCTTTTCCTATTCTCCGTATCTGAGTTTCTTCCCTAGTCGTGTGAATAAGAGTAAGACAGATTTCAAAAGAGCTTAAAGTTCACAGCCATTATTTGGAGACAGACGCTAAGAAAAATGCGAGAATTATACAGAAAATCATTAATCACTTCTTTTCTTTAAATACTCATTCTCTTCTATTGTTATTCAGCAGCAAATCTGTACGGACCTTCTGCCGGGAGGGGGAGAGTTCTTGGAGGACACTTGAAGATTCTTCCTTTTTTACCTCCTATCCCCTCTTTTCAAGCAATACCATAAGAAACTTTTTTTTTCTTTTCTTTTTTTTAAAGAACATCCCAGTTTCACACTGACGTGAGACACTTTGGAGCGTAGAAGATGGGATCTAAACAGGTAACGGCTAAATGTTCTTTGATTGTTAAGTTTTATTGTTTTATTGCCCTATCCTCACAGTCGGTATCAGAAATGCATTTGCTGATGCTGATAACTGAAAGGTTTATGGCCGCTTTGTTCAAAGACTTTTATAGCCGAGCTGTTTTGTATGTTTTTTAGTTTTATTCTTTTATCTTCGTATTTTGGTGAAATAAGTTTTTAAGTATAAATTATTTAAACTCCAATTTTAGTTTAAATGTATGTGATATTGTACAAATAATTATCTTTAAACTGAAACACAGTGGTTGAATATATTTAAAAGGTGGGATTTTTTTTAGAATATTAAACAGTATACGTAAAGAAGCGATACGTTTCATGTTAGTCAGCCTACACCAAGCAAAACATTTCCTCGTTGATAATTATTTATTTGAAGCTATTTTATGCACATTTAAATTCTATAGATCATATTGTCTTTGATCTTCTACAAAGGTTAGTAAACCAGGGGATTCTTTTCTGTGTATTTGGTACAATGCGCTCTGCTTTATGATAAAGTATAGTCTAATAGATAAATAGCAAAAATATTCCAGATTGTACAGATGAAGAGAAGTGAGGGAGAGAAGAAAATCGATGCGAGGATTCAACAGTAAAAATCGTCAAGCTGGGTTCAACAAGGGGACACGTTTTCTAAGCGATTAGGTCCGTTGTGAAGTCACAGACTGACCCCTGGAACCCTTGACCTCCTTTGGACTGGACACCGCTCCGTGTTACATTCTCAACATAAACCAGGAGCCGGTTACTCATAACAGCGCGGTGGGAGCCCTGCAACCTCGAGGGCAGGGCCTGCCGGTGACATTTTGTGTAAACTTGGTGGACACAAACTAAGACGTAGGTAGTCTCATCCGTGTTTAAGAAACAGGACCCCTTCCATTTTTACAGCAAATGCACATACCGAGAACCTGTCCCTTCTGTGGATATTCCTCTGGTAGTGGTGTACCCTTAAGAACGATGTTGATAATGTGTCATGCCTTCTAGGCTTTGATATCGTCTCCCATATCCCTCTGGTGTTTTATCCACATAAAGTTGTACACTTGCTATTGGCACGATACAGGATTTCTCACAGAAATATGATTTATTCCGTCGGCGATTTGCATAATAGGTTTTTCAGCGTGGAAGGTGGGTGGCTGTGTGAGTTGCCAACACATTGAATTAGGTCTTCTGTGGTGGGAAACTCCTCCTTTGCCAAGACAGGCTATGTTTAGAGCCTTGACTGACTTACCCATATAGTTGCGGTCTACTGTGGTCTGCTGCCTGTTTTCGATCACACCGCTAATTGCGAAACAAATAAGTCTGGTCTTTGGTGTAAAAGTATAGCTTCCAAAAGCGGTGGAGTGGATGCCCTCGCTGTGCAGAAGATGAACAAGTTGTGGTCCTTGTGGACTTTTAAAGAGAACGAGGGCATCTTCGAATTGATAAATTTGACATTTCGTTGGTGTATTTTAATAGACGGTGCAGGGATACGATGCAATTTTGTCCCTTTACCCAGTGCTAAGATGCACTGCTGTTTCTGGTTTTACTAAAAATCTTCCCACATATTAAATTCTAAAATTTGTCAATCAAAAATGTTCATCCTTATAATACAAAAAACAAATACATTTTAATTTTTAAGTAAAAGCACGATTTTAGTCTCGGGCTATACATCCAATATAGATAGTTACAAAAGGAAAAACACCGTTGAAGAATCAGTATTCACAACTAGCAAACGGCTTTTACGCATTTAATACGTCACTTATTCTCAATTAGTTAAGGTTAGAGCAACTATCGTTAGAGTAATAGTACTTGAAAGAACAGAACAATTTTTGCCAAAATGGTGAGCATGGCTGAGATGAAAAGACAAGCGGATGAGGCAGGCTGCTTGTCTGTAGGTCGAAATCCACGCGAAACGCAGAGGCGACGCCATTACTTTAAATAGATTCTGCGCCCAGTACTCGCTTTGACAGATTTATGATCCTCAATAAAAGCGGTAATGTTCGGCTCCGTAAATCAATCCCATATCCTCCAATATAAACTTACACTGTAGTAAATTCAATGTTTGTATAAGCTTACTGCTACCTAAGCTGATATATTCATGGTCCCAAAATTTAACATTTGAATCGATTTAAAAATGCTTTCATTTGTATATTTGTTAAAAAAAATGTTGTACAAACAGAATTCGAAGTATTGCAATATTATGAACAAATAACTAGGAAAAAAAATGCAAATTAATGAGTCTTGACAGGGGGACAGGGGCATTTTTAACTATCTTCTTTTTATTTGGTGTATGTCCGTGCATGATTGTGCCATACATTTTCTACATTCTTCATTATTTTTAAAATCTGAAACATATATAACACAAGGTATAACTGAACCATTATATCATTTGGCAGTTTTAATACCTGATATAATTTATTTAATTGCTCGAATGTAAGCAAGATATTGCCAGACGATTTCTTTAAATCAATGACATAACATGAATCTTACTGTAATGATTTATTTGATTGCACTTGGAACACTTTGTTGTGTAGCAGACTTTGTCGGAAAGTGGTCACTCTGCCTCTATATGTCACCTTTCAGTTGTTTTTAAGTTTATGATAATGACAATTATAAAGTGAGATGTGTATTTTTTATATTAATAAAAGCAAGAACACTTCGATCTTTTTTTTTTTGACCTTCAGCATCCAACCATAAATACGCTTGTACTTCGATACGGTCTGAAGTCTATTGTTCGAGAATGCTAAGGCTTCACTACATACACTACGGGAGTGATACAGTATTGTCCATTGTTTCTTAGTATTCTTTGTAGCGCTTTTGTCATGTGAAGCAAATTGTTGGTATTGTCTGTTATTATTATCATTATCATCATCATTATTACTACTACTGCTATTCCATGGACTACACGTATAACGACACACTGTATGACAATACAAGATTTAAAAATTCTTAACTTTACTTCATAATTCAAGATGACTGACTTAATACTGCATACTTTCCATAAAGTAAACGATTAGATGCTTATCAATATTAAACCTCCTTCTATAATAATAATAATAATAATAATAATAATAATAATGATGATGATGATGATGATGTCATATTATTACTGTTCACTTGCATTGCATTGTTTAATCTCTTCTATTATATCACACACACACACACACACACACATATATATATACACTGTTTGGAGAAGCAAAATAAAAGCGCGGTGCTTGATTTTGGGTGAAAATTCATATCATACCTTATCATGGTTAGTAACCCAAATGACACAGGATTCGGCATATATGGATATGACGGCAATAGTCATGCTTACTTTGAAAATAATTTAAAGGAAATGACTAGGTGAAAGATTTTAGCAGTATGTTTAGTTCTGTCGACACCTGTCAGTTTTCATAACTTTCATTCATAATAATTCTAAAGATGCAAAAGTCCTTTACCATATCTTTAAAATGAAGAATCTAGTTTTTTAACGCTTTGAGCCCACTGTTAGGTCAGAGTGGTCCCGCGAGCGAGAGCGGTGAAGACCCCCATCCCCCTCGCGGTCACGTGATTCATTAAATAATTAATGCAGAGGTTGCAGAATAGATATGTATTCGTCAGGATAATCGCAGACATGGTCTCCCTGTGTCTGACGTGAAATTCAACTGTCCTTTTAAAAACAAGCCTATAGGAGAGGAAAAAAGAGAGGGAGAGACACAGAGAGGCTGCAATAAAACAAATTTGGAGGGGAGAGAGTCTCGCCGTGTGGATATTGTAAGTATAACGGAAAGAAGAGATACTACCTCTTTTCAAGTGCTTGCTGTGCGGTGTTTCCAAGTATAGGCATTATTTGCAGTGATATTGTGGTAAATATGTGAAAATAATCAAATTATTGCTATTTTCTAGTATATTCCGCGTGAATGGCATTTTATGTCCTTATTCTTTGGCTATATATATATATATATATATATATATATATATATATATATATATATATGCTGTATGTGTGTATGCATGTATTCTGCTTATGCTGTAATTTGCCATTACATTTTCCTAACTGTTCCACCCCTCACTACTCATATTTCGCACTCTCTTCCACTCTCTCTCTTTTCTTCACCAGCACTTGGCTTGATTTATAGTGATACGTGTGTCAGCGGTAGCGCGGCTGCCATTGTATGTTTGTGAGAGAGTTGTGTTGTTTATGGCAGCGTCCACGATAAATCATTTTTTCTGAGAAAATGATGCACAAACGATGATACTTTGGAATGAGGAAGAGATTCCATGATCCTCGCTCTTCACTGGCTTCCCCGTTGTCGTCTACTGTGCTTCTCAGTTTGATTATTGTGGACGATTTACAGTAATGGATCAGCTATTAATATGAAGGCTCTACAGCTTTGTGTCTTGAGTTACAGCATATGCGATTACCAATTAAGGGAAGATTTGTTTAAATTTGGGAGAACGGGAACGCCTCGTCGCCATATAAATCTCGTAAAAGAGCAGGATCCAATGAAAAAGTTCACGAGTTCTAGACGAGGCATTCCATATTATTCGAGCGGAGACTGATTGACTTTTATCCGCAATACAACGATCGTGGACAATAAACTTAAGAGGACTCCAAAAGTGTAGTTTGCTTTGTAAGGAATCTAGGTTGTAAGGTACCGACGACAGATCAGGAACGAATATCCTTCATTTCTAGCCAATGGAATCTCGGACCAGAGTCCATGTATGTTTTATTTAGAATTTTATTTAATTATTTATTCACAAAACAGAAAATGGTTAAAAGCGTTTTTGCAAACTAGAGAAGCTATGGGCTTGGATCAAGAGATTTATCAGAGGAACCTCTTCAGATTCTAACTATGTAGAAAAAAATATCGCGGTTTTATTGCATGCCATTCGTTTTATTGTGTGAGTGCGCGTGGCTACAGATTTCGTTAACAATAGCAATGCTGTATATATAATGATTTCCTAAAGAGCAATGTAGAAGGCTGTATATTTAAGCTGAGAATTGA